TTTATTTATTTATTTATTTATTTATTTATTTATTTTTTTAGGTGGAGTTTCGCTCTCGTTGCCCAGGCTGGAGTGCAGTGGCGCAGTCTCAGCTCACTGCAACCTCTGCCTCCTGGGTTTAAACGATTCTCCTGCCTCAGCCTCCCAAGTAACTGGGATTATAGGCACCCACCACCACACCCAGCTACTTTTTTTGTATTTTTAGTAGAGACAGGGTTTCACCATGTTATCCAGGCTGGTCTCGAACTCCTGACCTCAGATGATCTGTCCACCTCAGCCTCCCAAAGTGCTGGGATTACAGGTGTGAGCCACTGTGCCGGGCTAAACATGTGACTTTAAAAATTATCAGGAAAGGCCGGGCGCGATGGCTCACGCCTGTAATCCTAGCACTTTGGGAAGCCGAGACGGGCGGATCACGAGGTCGGGAGATCGAGACCATCCTGGCTAACATGGTGAAACCCTGTCTCTACTAAAAATACAAAAAAATTAGCCGGGTGTGGTGGCGGGCGCCTGTAGTCCCAGCTACTGGGAAGGCTGAGGCAGGAGAATGGTGTGAACCCAGGAGGTGGAGCTTGCAGTGAGCTGAGATGGCGCCACTGCACTCCAGCCTGGGCAACAGAGCAAGACTCTGTCTCCAAAAAAAAAAAAAAATTATCATGAAGTTTATATCATTTACATTGTCTTCTGAAGCTGTAGTGTAGGTTAAAAAATGTACTCTATTTTGTCCAATAACTGCTTATAGAAATTAGAGATAAAATAGCATTTCTAATATGACAATACAAATATTAATTGTGGAATAAAGTAGAGCGATTATGCACAGGGAAGGATACTTTCATATATAAAAGTTGCAGGGTATCTTTTACATTTTTTTCTGGATCCTGTCACTTCTTTTGAATCATACCCAGTTGGTCTTTTGTTTCTTATAAATATTCTGAGTTCTTCCATATGCAAACATTAAAAAAAAATGGTCCTCTCATTTCATTGGTATTTTGGGTGGCTATAGAATTCTACTTTCAAAATAATCTTCACTTGGAAATCTAAGTCATTCCTCTCTAGTGTTCTGACATAGACATACAGTTTATTGATGATAATTGGATGTAGTCTCATTCTTGTTCTTTTTTTAGGAAAGCTTATTTTTTCACTAGACATTTTTAGAATGTTCTCTTTAATTTTGGAGTTCCGAAATTTTGTTAGGCTGTATTTAGGTTTGATTTTTTTCTTTCTTTATGTTTGGTTTTGGTAGACCCTTTCATTCTAGAGACTGTTGTCATTCTTCAGCTTAATTTGTTTCTCTTTTTCTATTCTATATTCATTACATTGATGCTGGAGCTCTATATTTCTTTATATATTTATTTTTTTCCTCATATCTTTCTTTGCTCCTATTTATATGAGATTTCCTTAGCTTTGGTTTTGCATATATCTAACTCAGTTTTCAGACGTGCTTTTTGGCCCATCCATTGAGGTTTTAAAATTTTTCTTAATGCTTTTAATTCCAGAAACTTTTGAGAGTTGTCATGTTTGTTGTGATATCCATTGTAATATGTGCTTGGTTCTGTATCTCTCGGCCTCTTATTTTCATGCAAAGACCCTTCTCCAGGCAGATGGCCTACTTTCTACAGAGAGTGGTTCTTAGGAATTGCTGATGGCAGAATCTGTCATCAGCTGCTATCTCTGGAGGTACAGATAAACACTGTTTCTTCTTTGGTTTATGACTGCTTTTTGTATTTTTTGACTCCAAATATGGAGCTTTTTGGGCATCCTCCTTGGGGAAGATCTGGCTTACTTTTGATATCTGTGATACGTTTTGTTGATTCTTTTGATAATCCAGTACAATCTGTTGTTGGAATTCCTCAAAATTTCTGGTCTACTGCTTCCATGATTTCCTATCTTTAAATTTTATGTACTTTTTGTTTTTTTTTTTTTGAGACAGAGTCTAGTTCTGTTGCCTGGGCTCTGGAGTGCAGTGGCATGATCATGGTTCACTGCAGTGTCGAACTCCTTGGCTTAACCAATCCTCCCACCTCAGCCTCCTGAGAAGCTGGGACTATAGGCATGTCCCATCATACCCAACTAATTTTGTTATTATTATTATTTTAGAGACCAGGTCTCCTTTTGTTGCTCAGGCTGATCTTGAACTCCTGGGCTAAAGTGATTCTCCCACCTTGACCCCCAAAAGTGTTGAGATTAGAGGCATGAGCCACGGTGTCTGGCCTATTTATTTATTTTTTATTTTACTTTATTTTATTCTAGACAGAGTCTCACTCTGTCTTCCTGGCTGGAGTACAGTGGTGTGATCTTGCCTCACTGCAACCTCCACCTCCTGGGTTCAAGCAATTCTCTTGCCTCAGCCTCCCGAGAAGCTGGGATTACAAGTGTGCACTACCATACCCGGCTAAGTTTTGTATTTTTTTTTAGTAGAGATAGGGTTTTGCCATGTTGGCCAGGCTGGTCTTGAACTCCTGGCCTCAAGTGATCTGCCTAAAACAACAACTTTTCTCTTATTTCACTGACACCTTGTGAGGAAGTGGAAGTAGATTGGGGTATTCAATCCGTTCACTTGGGCTAGAAGTGTAAGTCATACGTACTTTCTCTCTCTCTCTTTCTCTTTCTTTTTTTGACAGTCTCACTCTGTCGCCCAGGCTAGAGTGCAGCGGCACAGTCTTGGCTGACTGCAACCTCCATCTCCCGGGTTCAAGCAATTCTCTGCCTCTGTCTCCCAAGTAGCTGGGATTACAGGCACCCGCCACAATGCCCGGTTAATTTTTTTGTATTTCTAGTAGAGACATATTGGCCAGGCTGGTTTTGAACTCCTGAACTTGTGATCCACCCGCTTTGGCCTCCCAAAGTACTGGGATTACAGGTGTGAGCCACTGCTTTGGGCCTCTTTCTTTTTTTTTTTTGGAGATGGAGTCTTGCTCCATCGCCCAGGCTAGAGTGCAGTGGTGCAATCTTGGCTCACTGCAACCTCCGCCTCCTGGGTTCAAGCAATTCTCCTGCCTCAGCCTCCTGAGTAGCCGGGACTACAGACATGTGCCACCACACCTGGCTAATTTTTGTATTTTTAGTAGAGACAGGATTTCACCATGTTGACCAGACTGGTTTCAAACTCTTGGCCTCAGGTGATCCACCCGCCTCAGCGTCCTAAAGTGCTGGGGTTACAGGCGTGAGCCACTATGTCCAGCCTCTTTTTTTCTTTTTTGAGACGGAGTCTCACCTTGTTTCCCAGGCTGGAGTGCAGCGGCATGATCTTGGCTTACTGTGACCTCTGCCACCCAGGTTCAAGTGATTCTCCTGCCTCAGCCTCTCGAGTAGGTGGGACTACAGGCATCTGCCACCATGCCCGGCTAATTTTTTGTATTTTTAGTAGAGATGGGATTTCACCATGTTGACCAGGCTGTTCTTGAATTCCTGACCTCAGGTGACCCACCCGCCTCGGACTCTCAAAGTCCTGGGATTACAAGTGTGAGCCACCACGCCCAGCCTTTTTTTTTTTTTGATTATACTTATGTTCTAAACATCGAAAACAAAAGTAAAACACCAACAAAAAAGTAGAAGAGCCAGGTGCAGTGACATGCACTTCTCATTCCAGCTCAAGTGGGAGGATCACTTGAGCCCAGGAGTTCAAGTCCAGTGTTGGCAACATAGTGAGATCGTCTCTAAAAAAAAAAAAAATAGTAAAAAAAGAAAATTAAAAACCCAAAACAAAACAAAATATGTTCACTCTTCTACTTCTCTCTCTACTCTTCCCAGTCTAAGATGAGTTAAGCAGGAGAAATATCCATGTTTATAGGGATTAGGCTCATAGATTAGTTTAGAATTAGGAATGTACTACTATTTACCATAGGATTTTACAAGAAAGTTGTTCAGATACCTTTGTTTTTAAATTTCATTGTAAACATTTGATTATTTTATTTCTTAGAAAATATATGCTTTTTTCTTATTTAGAAGGAATATATAAAAAATTGTCAGAAATGTATATCCGTATGTTTTGTTTTAAACTCTGGACTTTTTTTTTCAATAGTGTACTTTTCCCAACACTGGTGCTCGCATCATGATGTTCATCGGCGGTCCTGCTACTCAGGGGCCTGGAATGGTGGTTGGAGATGAGTTGAAGACACCTATAAGATCGTGGCACGACATTGACAAAGACAATGCCAAATATGTTAAAAAGGGAACTAAGGTAATTTTGACTTTTAAATCTTTTTGCCTTATTAGAAAACAGGTATTCATTTGCTGGCAGAAGAATACAAATAGTTTTTGATAGAAATTGATATTATACAGTTTGATACTACAACTGGTATTCAGAATTGGAGAAATACTCATTTTTTCTTGATAACTTGTTATACTTTTTCTGGTTCAAAATATTTAAACACTTCATAGTAGGTGTCAGTAGGTATCTCCTTAAAAATTATTACTGAGAGAAACATTCTGTGCCTTTTTAAATATTCATGTTAAAGAATGTCTTTCTGTTTAGGAAAAGTTGTTTTTACATTTTTCAGTTTTTCATTTCCAAGAGACAATCCTTGATTTTTCCTTCAGATATGAATATTGTTCATAGATTAAATAGTCCATCATTTTCTTGTAAGTTGTTTTATGTTCATCTAACTTCCCGTTTTTTTGGGTTTGTGTAAGTACATTTCACTAATGTTGATTTTTGACACTCTTATATTGGTTCTATATGCTAATATCTCTTAATTTTTTAATTCTCTAGAGTTCAGTTTTAGTTTAGTTTGTGCTGTATCATGTATTTTTTGATATCATCAGTATTATAGTTTTAAAAGTAATTTATGACATAATTTTTGCCACTGTTAGTGGATGCTTTTCTTTCTTGCCAACTAATTTCCTTTATGAGCTTGGAATTTTTCTTGGTTACAGCTTCTAAACCTTTCAAAAAAGGTTTTAGATTCATTTATCTTACTGCTTTTTGTATTTTCTCTACTTTTGTATGTTTTTGTTACTTGGGTATGGATTTAGCCAGGAAAGAGAGTTCTCCATTGTTTTTCTTTCTTTCTTTTTTTTTTTTTTGAGACAAAGTCTTGCTCTGTCACTCAGGCTGGAGTGCAGTGGTGCAGTCTTTGCTCACTGCAAGCTCCGTCTCCTGGGTTCATGCCATTCTCCTGCCTCAGCCTCCCGAGTAGCTGGGACTATAGGTGCCTGTCACCACGCCTGGGTAATTTTTTGTGTTTTTAGTAGAGATGGGATTTCACTGTGTTAGCCAGGATGGTCTCGATCTCCTGACCTCGTGATCCGCCCTCCTCGGCTTCCCAAAGTGCTGGGATTACAGGTGTGAGCCACCGCGCCCGGCCTGTTGTTTTTCTACTATGTTTGTGTGTGAAGAACAAAATATGCAAGATGCCTTTCTTTAAATTTGGCTTCACCTAGGGGTTTATCTAGAAAGAGTGGCTTTTAAGGAAAAAAAATGTGAAAATGTCAGACTCACAGAAGTTGTTACATAATTTTATTAACATTACAGAAAGTTAAATAGCAAACCATAATTTAAATTATGATGAGTTATTCTTTTAGTCCTTCTTAGGTCATTTTGATTTGTTAATTGAAAAAAGATGTATAGGATGATTTTGTATATTATTTTAATTAAAAAAATCTTTTGTAGCATTTTGAAGCATTGGCTAATCGAGCTGCTACAACTGGCCATGTTATTGATATCTATGCATGTGCATTAGATCAGACAGGTCTCCTGGAGATGAAATGCTGTCCCAACCTTACTGGGTATGTATTTAAATTTTTGTAATTATAAGCAAATGATGACATTTACTGATATAAACCAATAATGACCGTTTAGGGAAAAATGGCATCTCCCCAGTACTTCAGGGCAACACATCTGTTAGTAGTTTTTGATATTCCTTTCAGTAAAGCACACTTTTAAATTTTTTAAAAAATATGGAGTTATAAAGGTCTGTTTCTAAAGCTCACTTTGATATTTTGAAGTTATTATTTTGATTTATTACTTTAACACCTTTTTTGAGATAAAATTCACATACATAAACTTACCATTTAAAATGTCAATTTGATGCTTTTAGTATATTTACAGGATGCATAGCCATCACCATAATTTGTTTAGAACATTTGCATTACCCTAGAAACTGTGTACCCATTAGCAGTTACTTCCCATTACTCCCTCCTTTCTCTTCTCACCACCCTCTCATCCTTAGACAGCTGATAATTGCCTGTTCTGGATAGTTTTTAAAATGGAATCAGAGGCTGGATGCGGTGGCTCACGCTTGTATTCCCAGCACTTTGGGAGGCTGAGGCGAGTAGATCATGAGGTCAGGAGTTCAACACCAGCCTGGCCAAGATGGTGAAACCCTGTCTCTACTAAAAATACAAAAATTAGCCAGGCGTAGTGGCAGGCGCCTGTAATCCCAGCTACTCAGGAGGCTGAGGCAGGAGAATTGCTTGAACCCGGTTGGCAGAGGTTGCAGTGAGCCGAGATCATGCCACTGTATTCCAGCCTGGGCGATAGAGTGAGACTCCGTCTCAAAAAACAAACAAAAAAAGGAATCAGAGCCGGGCGCCATGGCTCCCAACTGTAATCCTAGCACTTTAAGAAGCTGAGGTGGGAGGATTATCTGAGGTCAGGAATTCAAGACCAGCCTGGCCAACATGGCAAAACCCCATCTCTACTAAAAAACACAAAAATTAGCCGGGCGTGGTGGCACTTGCCTGTAATCCCAGCTACTCAGAAGGCTGAGGCAGGAGGATCACTTGAACCTAGAGGTGGAGGTTTCAGTGAGCCAAGAAGATTGTGCCACTGCACTCCAGCCTGGACCACAGAGTGAGACTGTTTCAAAAAGAAATGAATCAAATGGTCTTTTGTGATTGGTTTCTTCTACTCAGCATAATGTTTTCAAGGTTCATCCATATTATAGAATGTACTAATATTTTATTTTATTTTTATTGCTGAGTAAAAAGGGAACAAGGGGTCAAAGTGCATTTAATAGTATTCCATTTGATGGATACACCCCATTTTGTTTAGGAATCCATCGGCTAATGAACGTTTCATTTCCACTTTTTGGCTACTGTGAATAATGGTCCTTTGAACATTGTGTTCAAGTTTTGGTGTGGAGACTGTGTTTTTGTTTCTCTTACGTATATATCTAGGAGCAGAATTGTTGTGTCATGTAGTAGTCCGTCCTTAACATTTTGAGGAACTGTCAAACAGTTTACCCAAGTGACTGTACCAACTTAAATTCCCATTACCAAAGTATGAGGATTCTAGTTTCTCCACATGTTTGTAAGCACTTGTTATTGTCTGTATTTTAATTTTTTTGAGATGGGGTCTTTGTTACCCAGGCTGGAGTGCAGTGTGCAATCATAACTCACTGCAGCCACAATTTCCAGGGCTCAAGCAATCCTCGCACCTCAGCCTCCTGAGTAACTGAGACTACAAGCACATGCTACCACACCTAACTAATTGTTAATACTTTTGTTTTGCGGAGACGAGGTCTCACTTTGTTGCCCAGGCTGGTCTTGAACTTCTGGGCTCGATCCTCCTGCCTCTGCTTCTCAAATGCTGGAATTACAGGTGTGAGCCACTGTGCCCAGCCTATTGTCTGTCTTTTTGATGGTATCTGTCCAAGTGGGTGTGAAGTAATATCTCATTTGTTACAGTATCTTTGAAATAGATTACTGTTAGGGGGGTGGCTGGATTAAGGAGGAAATCCATATATAATTTTGTTAGATATTATCAAGTTGCTCTGTACTGGGGTTGTACCATTTTGCAGTCCCAGCAGAAGTGTATGAGAGTGCCCGTTTTTCCATAGCTTCGCCAACATAATATGTTGCCATCAAACTGATTTTTGCCAATCTATTAGAGAAGGAATGGTATCAAAATAGTTTTTAACTTTCAAGTTAATATTAAACATTTTTTAAATTAAAAAAGTAGGTATATGCTTATTGAAAAAAATTTAAAGTAAGTGTATAAAGTGAGAATACTCTCTTAATTTTCTTCCATTCTCATTTGCTCGGTATAACATGTATATTTCATGTGACACAGGCAATACATGCATGTACATACACACACATACTCGTTTTTAAGAGTGAGAATGAGCCGGATGGGTGGCTCATGCCTGTAATCCCAGCACCTTGGCAACCCGAGGTGAGCATATTGTTTGAGCCTAGAAGTTCAAGACCAACCTGGGCAACATGGCAAAACCCTATCTCTACAAAAAAACAAAAAAATTAGCTGGGCGTGTTGGTGCAACCTGTAGTCCAGCTACTTGGGAGGCTGAGGTAGGAGGATGGCTTGAGCCCAGGAGGTTGTGGCTGCAGTGAGCCGTGATTGTGCCACTGCACTCCAGCCTGGGCGACAGAGTGAGACCCTGTCTGAAAAAAAAAAAAGAGAGAATGCATGCTGGAAACTGTCAGGTACCTTTACCAATATGGAGAACATTTGTTACTATATACTCTTCTGTACCTTTTGAATTTTGTAATATAATGGATATATTGCCTATTTAAAGAATAATTTTTTAAAAATTGCCAAGGACAAATGCAACTGTTAAGGGCACTCTGTTATCCTTGGAATTGAGATTATTTGTGGGGTGAGGATATTCTCATATATATTTGAATATTAAAAATGAGTAATACAGCACATTTTGGGAAATATCTTTAAAATTTATTGGTAGTCTTGAGAGGTAATTTTCTTCTACGATTTTAACACACGGACTCAGTAACTGTGTCAAGTGTTTTTTTTTTATTCTTTCCATGCAGAGGATACATGGTAATGGGTGATTCTTTCAATACTTCCTTATTCAAACAAACTTTTCAAAGAGTCTTTACCAAAGACATGCATGGACAGTTTAAAATGGGCTTTGGTGGTACACTAGAAATAAAGGTAAGAACCAAAACTTGGCATGTGTGATATGCTATCAAGAGAGAACTTATAGAGTATAATTCTAAAGTGTCATTAATCAAATTTAGTATTTGCTTTCAAAATTGTGGTTATTTTTTATTTAAACCTGAGTTAGAGATTTTCTTCACCAGAAGAGTGTCATCATTCAATGTATGAGACTTTACTTGAGCATTTCTGAACAATTGTTAGAAAAGTAGAACAATATTGGTAAAATAATTCTTTAACTTTTATTTTTTTCTTTATATAGGGCTTAACTCTTTAAAGTATGTTTTATCTTTTTTTTTTTTTTTTATTTTTTTTTTATTTCTTGAGACAGAGTCTTCCTCTGTCGCCCAGGCTAGAGTGCAGTGGCATGATCTTGTCTCACTGCAGCCTCCGCCTCCTGGGTTCAAGTGATTCTCCAGCCTCAGCCTCCTGAGTAGCTGGGACTACAGGTGTGTGCCACCGTGTCTGGCTAATTTTTGTATTTTTAGTAGAGACGTGGTGTCATCATGTTGGCCAGGCTGGTTCAAACTCCTGACCTCAGGTGATCTGCCTGTCTTAGCCTTCCAAAGTGCTGAGATTACAGGCATAAGCCACCATGTCTGGCCTGTTTTATCTTTTGTAGAGCCAAATCTATTTATGTTAGTGCCAGGTTAATGATGGGAATTGTTATCTAACTTAAGAGGAAACTGTTTTTTACCTTTGGATAATCAGTAATTGTTTTATGATTAGTTGTTATTACATAATTCTATCATTTATTTCAAATTTGGATTTAAAATACCCAAAGGCTAAGTGCTTCTAATCCTAATTGATTTTTTTAAATTAATTCTAAGCACATTAATTTTGAATTTTCATTAAATATTTATTAAACTTGTTTTATTGAATGCTTGCTATATGCCCAACATTGTGTGGGAAATTACAGAGATGTCTAGGGATATCTAAGGTACACGTCTTGCTGTAGAGACACTTAGCATTCTCTTGATAGAGAGGCAGGAAAAGAAAACAGTGCATGTGATAGAATGACGTAATAATTATAAAAACGCTATAAAGGTTTAGAGAAGAAAAATGAACATATATAGGATACAATTTATTCTAGAGGAGTGTGACTTATAGTTTTTTTTTTTTTTTTGAGACAGAGTTTCGCTCTTGTTGCCCGGATGGAGTGCAGTGTCGTGATTCCGGCTCACCACAACCTCTGCCTCCTGGGTTCAAGCGATTCTCCTTCCTCAGCCTCCTGAGTAGCTGGATTTACAGGCATGTGTCACCATGCCCAGCTAATTTTGTATTTTTAGTAGAGACGGGGTTTCTCCATGTTGGTCAGGCTGGTCTTGAACTCCTGACCTCAGGTGATCCACCCGCCTCAGCCTCTCAAAGTGTTGGAATTACAGGCATGAGCTATCGTGCCTGGCCACAGTTTTTTTTTTTTTTTAAAGATGTTAGAGGATAATGCATTTTATTCAGGAACCTGGTGTGAGGAGAGGCATAGAGGTGAGAATCAGCATTGTATGTTTGAGAAAACTGCCCAGTGAGTGTAGATGCTTTGTATTGGAATGAGGGGAAATAGCTTAAATTTGTGGGAGCTGGTTGTAGTGTGCAGACATATGTGTCATATTAGGTATTTTGCGTAAGATTCATCTGACAGTGCTATTCTGCGCATGTCAAGTAAAAGAATCACAAGTAAGAAAAGCAGGCTTTCTAATTTTTTTTTTTTAGATAGAAGGTATTGTGATAGCTTAAATTTTGGTGGCAGGAGAGACTGGGTAGAGACCAATCTTGGTGACAGATTTTCTCTGGGAGGAAAAATAGAATAGGGTGTCTAAGGTTTTGGATTAGGATATGTGAATTTTGGGTGGGTAGGTAGGAGTGTGAAGTCAGGATGAGGTTCCCAAATGGAGACCTCCTATGTGCTAATGGAAATAGAAGATTAAAATTAGGTCGGTGCCAGATTTTTAATTTGGCAGTGAGCATAGAAGTGCTCATTGATTATTTTTCATGTTAGTATATTTTCATTGGCTTTGAGTGTTAAATATAGATGAGTATCTTATATTCTTATACACCTGTAGTTGAACATTTGAACTTACCTTTGAGGAAACCGAATATGCTATATTCTTATTTTGCAGACCTCAAGGGAAATAAAGATTTCAGGAGCTATTGGACCCTGTGTGTCGCTCAATTCTAAAGGACCCTGTGTGTCTGAAAATGTAAGTTGTGTTTATTCTAAAAAGAAAATATAGGGCCAGGAACTGTGGCTTGCACCTGTAATCCCAGCTACTTGAGAGGCTGAGGCAGGAGGATTGCTTAAGCCCAGGAGTTAGAGACCAACCCAGGCAACAGAGAGAGACCCTGTTCCCCACCCATTATCCCCGCCAAAAAAGAAAAAAAGAAGATACAGTGAATGCACAGGATAGCACCAACAAAAACTTGGGGTGGCAGCCTATAGCATTCCTTTCAGAATTCTTATATTGGTTGTTTTATGTAGTTCAGCTTCCATTGGTATACCTCCATTCGTGGTTGCTCTTTCTGCATACCCTTTTCCCATCTACCCCTAATTAAAATTTTTGTACTGTCACCAGTCTTCTATTTTTTATGCCTAAATTATGTCTTGCCCCAGTGTACCTAAAAAAAAAAAAACAACTAATGATTTGGAAATTTGGAGACTTCTGAAAGTCAAAATTAGCTCTAAATTGATTTTTGTTACCAGAATTTTCAAAAAAGTAACCAAATTAGCCAGATTTGGAATTTCAGTTCTTTGTGTTCTTTTTATCCAATTTAATGGAAGTATAATGCACTGTAAAATGTAGCTGTAGAGAGGATGATGGGACAAATAATACAAAGTGGGTAATCAACTTTAAAAATGGCAAAGCTAAAAAATTAATATATATAAGCAGTTTGCATGGTAAAGGCCTATCTATATCTATGACATTTTCTTGGGAATCAGAGTGCTTAACAATTCTCATCCAGAGAACATGTGTTTGTAAATGCATATATTATATATTAAATCAGTTCCTCTTTATACACATCCAGTAGTTGGATAGAAGGATAACGTTAGTTGCAATTACTTCATTAAATAGCATATGCTTTTATTTTTTATTTATTTATTTTTTGAGACGGAGTCTCGCTCTGTTGCCCAGGCTGGAGTGTAGTGGTGCCATCTCGGCTCACTTGCAGGCTCCGCCTCCTGGGTTCATGCCATTCTCCTGCCTCGGCTTTATGAGTAGCTGGGACTACAGGTGTCTGCCACCATGCCCAGCTAATTTTTTGTGCTTTTGGTAGAGATGAGGTTTCACCATGTTAGCCAGGATGGTCCCTATCTCCTGACCTTGTGATCCGCCTGCCTCAGCCTCCCAAAGTGCTGGGATTACAGGTGTGAGCCACTGCGCCTGGCCAAATAGCATATGTTTTTAACGACGACAGTATGAAGAACTTATATTAATACTTTTGTAATTTACTTAGCAAGAATTTGAATTTTACTTTTATTATGTAAAAATTATTTTGTTTTTATTATGTAAAAAATGCTTTATTTTATAATATACTTACAGTCTTAACATATTTTAAGCTCTTAACATCGTTGAATTAGTTTGAAACATGACTTTTTTTTCCCTATGGTCTTTTTCCTTTTTCACCTTAATATAAAATTAATAAATTGTGTCTCTAACTTTCAAACATGCTTTATTTTATTTTACAGGAGATAGGAACAGGTGGCACATGTCAGTGGAAGATATGTGGACTTAGTCCCACTACAACCTTAGCCATATATTTTGAGGTTGTCAATCAGGTATGACTTTCTACATCTGAATATCAAAACGTACATTTGAATAAGTACTTACTTTAGACCATGAATAGTTCATATATTTTTTTCCTATAGTAGATATAACCCAAAATTTATTTTCTGTATTGGAATTTATATTTGTTTTTTATTTTTATTTTTATTTTTCAAGGCTAAACTCCTTGGTGAGAGGACATATTGTAATAGAAATGCAGGGAAACCTACGAACGCCAAACCTTGGATAGCCCAACTTTTAGTCTGTTTTCTTTCTTTCTTTCTTTTTGAATATAAACTTGAAGGATAAATGCAGTTACTTAAAATTTCCTTCTACTTATGCATTTTTGCAATTAGATGTCTAGCTTTTTCTAGTTGTCACAAAGTGTATATGATACATGAGTCTTCCTACAAGAAGGTCTCATATGTGAAAATCCATAGAAAAAGTTTGGAAAGTAATCATATTTGGGAAGATTTTTTTTTTTCTGCCACAGGAGCTAGTTAATCACATTGAAGAATAATATAAATTACTGACTTATTTATTAATAGTTTTTAGGCATAAAATGAACCATAAAATATTAACAATCGGCTTTCCTAAGGCAGGTGCAATAGTTTTTTTTTAAACATTAAAATTTATAAGAAATATATTGACTCTTATTGACAAAAGCAAAACAAAATGACACACAAAAACAAAGCAAGAATGTCTTGTCAGAAGGCATGAATAAAGTTTTCCTATTGACTACTTGTATTTCTTTCTGATGATAATTATTATATATTGCTATTAGTTTCTTCTCATTATTAATCTTTCATTGGTTGGTTGTTCATCATATGATTATGTTCCTAAAAGTTCTGCTTTCATCTTCTATACCTAGGGGACGAGGACTTAGCTCAATTTCTCTTTATCCAGTTACAAGTTGAACATCTCAAATCTGAAATCTGTAATGTTTCAAAATCTGGAACTTTGTGAATGCTAGCATGACACTCAAAGAAAATGCTCATTGGAGAGCATTTTGGATTTTGGATTTTTGGATTTGGGGATGTTCAATTGGTATAAGGCAAATATTCCCAAGTTTGAAAAAATATAAAATCCAAAACATTTCAGTACCCAAGCATTTTGGATAAGGGATATCCAAACTGTGCAGTTTGGCTTAAATGACCTCAACTAGGTCTTGTCTTTTAATTTCTTTGTGCTCTCCCTTTTCTTTGTTCTTTCATGTCCCTCTTGCTTATATATTACTTGAAAATTGATTTCCTAGCAGGACTGACTTCTCTCATTCTTGAGTATTTTCCTCCTCTCCCAAATTAATTTCTCCCTTCTGTGTGACAAATTATAATTGTTTTGAATGCATTGGAAATAAGTATCCTTCTAATCAATTTTAGAATGAATTATTTTTAGTGCTAGGACATGCAGCGTGTGATTATATGACAACAACATAGTAAAATTTGCTTAGGTTTTACTCCATTATATTTATACAGCATAATGCTCCAATTCCTCAAGGAGGGCGTGGTGCAATCCAGTTTGTGACTCAGTATCAGCATTCAAGTGGGCAGAGACGCATCCGAGTGACCACCATTGCTAGGAAGTAAGTTGTATTTGTTAAGAGATTTGATTTTCATATCACAACTATCTGGGTTGTGTTTCCAAAGTGGATTCCTATTTTGGGTGACATCCATGACTAGCAAGTGAATATTTGTGACTAATAGTATTTTATTTATTTCTTTTTAACCCAGCTTATTTGCTACAATATTCATTACTAAGAGAACTGTAAGAGCAATTTTAAAAAGTACTTCTAAGACACACCCTTCAAAATATTATTTACCTCATTCCTGTGAGAGGAGAAGAATCAAACATTTACCTATAATAGTCAATAATAATATATATAATCCATTATATATATGACAGCACATTAATTAATCACATTACTTTTCAACTAGTGATAAAAATTCTTAGCTATTTTTTTCAAGTTTTATTAGTCATTTAATTCATCTGTTAAGCCATTACTCAGCTTCTGCCTTGTGGAGTAGGTTCTGTTGTGGGAGAGTATGAATGCAGAAGCCGTGAACATACTTAGCCTCCTGCTATATGACGGTGTGGTATAGAGTAGTCCTCACACTGTCTGTGGTAAAGGGCCAGTTGTGGTTTTTTCCCTAATCCTTCGGGTACAGATGCTTTTATTAAATACAATAAAAATGAATTACTAGAAAAATGAAATTTTAAAAAGTGATTTAAAACAAACTCCCTGTTTTATGTTATTAGATTAATAAGATACAAGATTATTTTGTGAAGTTGCTCAGTTTCTAAATATTTATTGTCAGTTCCTCTATTGACTTCGTGGCACTGGTTCACATACCACACTTTGACTAGCACTTGTTGAGACCACAAAAGGTAAAGTCTGTACCTAACAGATTCAATTATAGGGTAGTATTTTGTGTAACATCTTTGCCCAGGATTTGCAGAGACAACAAATTTAATTGAATTTAGTACGCTTCTTTTTATTAAGAATCAGGAATAAATTATTTCGCTGCTAGTTTGGTATCTCTATATATTTGTGTATAAAACAAAAGGAAAATAATTGTGGAATGAGTTTAGTTAGGAAGAGATTTTTAGATGAGGTGAATCTAGAAATGAACAGGCTTTGGTCTTTATTTCTATTTGTCTTGAACTTGGTTGTCTGGATAGGGAAAGTATTGATCAGTAAACTTACCCAGTTTAGTCATGGTCTAGACAATGGACAAGGAAGGCATTTGTAGCTCTCATTTTCATTAACTGTACTTAAACTCTAGCTTCATTCTTGAAAATCTTAAGACTTTTGATGAGTGATGGACATGAACACAACATTTGAACTGAATATTAGTTGTATTGGATGATCTATTACTTAGCACAGGGTTGTACATAGATTGACTGTCCTGTTCTGTTACCTTGCTTTGACTTCACGTCCTGGAACAATGTCACGGGGATACATTATTCATTTGAAGAAAAAATGTCAACTGAACCTTCCCTTAGATTTGTTCAGATTTCAGATAAGGAACTCGGAAGTACTGATTCCTGGCAAACTTCTCAGTTTATTTATGCCTCTCAACATGTGTGCGCACGCACACACACACGTGTGCGCACACATTAAATTTGACATTCAGAACATTTGCTTAAGGAAACAACGATATACCAAATGAGGGAGTTTTTACATTTTACAAAGTCACTGGTTTATACTACTCAAAAATGTCTTAGAAGACAAAGTCTGAGCAACTGATCCAGATTAAAGGATACTAAAGAAACATTACCACTAATGGCAATGTGTGATCCTGGACAAAATGCGATGTCAGGGAAAAATTTTGCTTTAGAAGCTATTATTAGACAATTGCGGAAATATGAATATGGTCTCTTTCTATATGATAATAACAATATATCAGTGTTAGATTTCACCAATTTAATAATTGGAGCTATATAAGATAATTTTTTGTTCTTAGGAGATAGACACTAAAGTATTTCGGGCAGAGGTCATAATGTCTCCAACTTAATCTAGAAGAGTTCAGCAAAAAATGTATATATAAATGGAGAGAAAGAATGATAATGCAGATGTGTTATAATGCTAACAATTGATCAATCTAGGTGATGGATATATAGCAGTTTATTCCACTCTTCTTACTGTCTTTATGTTTGAAATATTTTTAAAATGAAAAGTTTTAAAAGGTTAGATTACTCTTTCAAGAGACAGGGTGCTATCTGTGAGAAATATCATGGGCTTATATATTTTCAGTTTGCACAGAATTTATGAGGCTATTTGTAGAGAGATATGTTTGTTATGGTGCCATTTATAGCATTGTCTTACCAAAAGCATCCATCTTTTCAAGTTAACTTATCCCAACCATTTCCAATGATCAGAGCATCTTGTTTTTTTTTGTTGTAGTTGTGTTTTTTTTTTTTTTTTAAACTAGGATTATGACTGTCGGGGCCTAGACAAGTGTTTTGGTTAAGTGAATAAGCCATATGAAAATAAAGGCTCCTGAGAAGACAAAGTTACTCTATTTTTCATATAGAAAATAACTTTGATCTAGGAATTTTGGTTTAAACTAGTTGTAAGAATCACAGTGAAGGGATATGGGAAATGTAGAATACCGATTTTTATAATGTCAAGAAGCCCTTTAAACTTGACTTTAAGAACATACCTTTTAATTTATGTCTAAACAAATAATAAGTAGTAAATTTGCAGGTGTTCACTTGGAATGTATTTCCTCTATTGCGCCATTATATTTTCAGAATAAAAAAAAACACCTTCATAGTTCAAAGCAAATAAATATGGTCATTCAAGTTTGGAAAGTACTGATTCAAACAGTGTTGTTTTTAATTCTTTGATTTTTAAAATTAAAATTAAAATAATTAATAAAACACTAAACCAAACTATTAGTATAATCATGAAGTCTTTAAATTGCATTAAAACATAACTTTCAAAATTACCAATGTCTTCTTTCACACATTCTCATTCTTTTTTGCTTCTTACTGTTTACTACACTGAGATAATTCACACGTTTCAACCATCTGGGAAACATTTAATAATTATTTGCTTATTGAAAGAAAATTAAAAATACAGAAAGAAGGGAGAAGAATTTTAAACATGCTACTGCCTGAATTCCCTTGGGATCACTCTTATATGTAAAAGTGGTTCAGCATTTATTTTCAAGAAGTCTGTAAGTATGTCTGGCCAGTCACTATATCTGAAATATTAAACAAACAAACATAAAATGTATTGCTGAGTCTACCCAGGATCAGTTTGACTTGATTGGATTTATACAGCATTTGGATTTAATAAATTGCTGCTATTTTATGTGTAATATCAAATTATTCCCTTAGACTGAAATTTTTACTTGTTAACTTTTCATTGGTTTTAGGCAGTGTATTAACATGGAAATAAAAGAATACAAAGTAATTTTAATTACTTGATTTTTATCACTAATGATTGAAAGGCCAATGAGAAACTTCTGACAATTCATTTTCCAGTGGAATAAACAAGAATTACTTAGGTTGAGAGAAAACCTTTATTTTTGTATAGTTGTATTTCTATATTTAAATACAAAATGATTTTTAAAAATTTAATTAAAAAAATTAAATGAAATTTTAAAGTTGGATATAGGGACTTACATATCTATGTGTGGGGACACACATATATGCAATTATTTTTACTCGTAAAAATCTTTTATTGGCCAAGTGTGGTGACTCATGCCTGTAATCTCAGTGCTTTGGGACGGCTGAGGCAGGAAGATCACTTGAGTCCAGGAGTTGGAGACTAGCCTGGGCAACATAATGAGACCTTCATCTCTAAAAAAATGATTTTAAATTAGCTGGGTATGGTGGTCTGTGCCTGTAGTCCTGCTACTCAGAAGGCGGAGGTGCGAGGATTGCTGGAGCCCAGTAGTTTGAGGTGAATCATGATTGTGCCACTGGAACCATGATCATGCTACTGCATTCCAACTTGGGTGATAGAGTGAGACCTTGTCTCTTAAAAAAATCTCTGTTTTTTTTTTTAAACTTCCTTATTTTATGTCTTTAAAGTTTTTCTTTTTTTGAGACAGTTTTGCACTGTCACCCAAGGTGGAGTGCAGTGGTGCCATCTCGGCTTGCTGCAGCCTCTGCTTCCCAGGGTAAGGCAATTCTCGTCTTCAGAGTAGCTGGGATTACAGGCATGTGCCACCATGCCTGGCTAATTTTTGTATTTTTAGTAGAGACAGAGTTTCACCATGTTGCCGAGGCTGATCTTGAACTCCTGAGCTCAAGCAATCTGCCTGCCTCAGCCTCCCAAAGTATTGCGATTACAGGCGTGAACCACTGCAACCAGCCTAGAGATAGGGTCTTGCTGTTTCTCAGGCTGAACTCAAACTTCTGGGCTTAAGTGATTCTCCCACCTTAGCTTCCTGAATAACTGGGACTATAGATATGTGCCACCATGCCGACTGGAGTAGTAAAAAATCTTAATGTTTTAAGGAATGTGGTTGGAGAGCTGCCTTTACAGTTACTTTGGAAGATTTCTTTAGGTTTGGTTATATTTTTCTGAAAAACAATAAATGCTATACTAAACCTGCTATTAGTGATTTAAAAAAATGCTAGTTTGAGCCTGATGCAGTGGCTCACACCTGTAATCCCAGCACTTTGGGAGGTTCAGGTGGGTAGATTGCCTGAGCTCAGAAGTGCAAGACCAGCCTGGGCAACATGGTGACACCCTGTCTCTACTAAATACAAAAAAGTTAGCCAGAGTGTGTAGTCACTACTCTGTAGACTGAGGCATGAGAATTGCTTGAACCCAGGAGGCAGAGGCTGCAGTGAGCTGAGATCCCTCCACTGCACTCTAGCCTGGGTGACAGAGCAAGACTCTGTCTCCAAAAAAAAAAAAGCTAATTTGTTTAAGTAATATTGGAATTTTGAAATATCAAAGTAGGCTGGGCGTGGTGGCTCACGCCTGTTATTCCAGCACTTTGGGAGGCCTAGGTAGGCGGATCACTTGAGGTCTGGAGCTCAAGACTAAACTGATGAACATGGCGAAACCCCCTCTCTACTAATATCGTGGGAATCAGGAGACTGGAGAGACCAGTAGGTAGAACAGGAGGATTTTATTGAGTGCACTTAGACCCAGTGGATTAACATCCGAGGACTGGGCCCCAAGCAAAGGCAGGGCTTGGCTTATATACACACTTTTGAAACGGGGTTGACTAGTTTGAAACAAGCTTATAGTGGCGTGAAGTGTAGTGGCGTGAAAGCTCATGTACAGAGGCAGAACAAAGGCAGTTAATTAAACTGTGACAGGTTCATAATGCAGGCTTATGAGTGACTCTTGCTATGTAGCCTGGATGGCTGTTATGTAGCTTTGCTCGAGATCCTTGCACAGGCTTATCTCATAACCTTTGCTATGGCGCCTAGATGGTTGCAATCCAGGCCCACTCAGGCATGTCTCGTGACCTTTGCTGTGTTGCTCAGATAAAACAGACTACTTGAAGTTGCTAGTTATAGAAAACAGGAATCTGTAAACTCAGGTTTACTCACATCATAAGAGAGAGGAAAATTTGTTTCTCTTCTCCCTGTATTTGAGGGAGTGCTGGGAGAGTCTCCAGAGCACATTCCTTTGAGCCCTGGCTTCTTGGATAATGTTGTTGATACTTTGCCTGGGTCTGGGCTTTGCCCGTTACTGCCTTTGGGATGAGTTAGCCTAACAACTGAAGCTTGTTTCCTTCTCTTTTTAATTTTATTTTTCTTTATTTGTTTAATTTCCTGCCTCACTAAAAATACAAAAAATTAACTGGAATTGGTGGCAGGCGCTGTAATCCAAGCTACTTGGGAAGTTGAAGGAGGAGAATTGCTTGACCCCAATAGGCGATGTTGCAGTGAGCCAAGATCGCACCATTGCACTACAGCCTGGGTGACAGAGCGAGATTCTGTCTCAAAAAAAAAAAAAAAAAAAGGAAATATTGAAGTAGTTTCTGTATCTTTTATCTTTTAAATTTAAATTTGTATGGTAGCCAACTGTGACATTGTGGATATAATAATTCAGCTGGATTTCTATGCTTTCTTATTGTCTTTAGCTGGGCAGATGCTCAAACTCAAATCCAAAACATTGCTGCATCTTTTGACCAGGAGGCAGCTGCCATTCTTATGGCCCGACTAGCAATATATAGAGCAGAAACAGAAGAAGGTCCAGATGTGCTTAGGTGGCTGGACAGACAGCTCATTCGACTGGTAAGAAGTAAACACTGTACTTTTCTAAATTTGTATGCTTTCATTTATAGTGAATGTTTGTTGCATAATCTCTTTCAAAGTACTTAACAGTGTATCTGAAATACTGTATGAGAAACTGCTATTCAAATTACTGAGACAGTAGCACAGTAATGAATAGTAGAATTCAGTAATCTCTTCCAGTAAACTAGATTGCCTTTTTTCCTTAAAAATTAAGAGTGACAATTTAGTAACCTATTATTTTTCTATTCTTATTGGCTGGAATGAGGTTAGTTCCAAATTTAATTCTGTATTATTGTAACAATTTTTATTGCTTTTTAACATATTTCTTCATTGCTGTGGCTTTAGTTTTTTACTTTCATTTTAATGGAACTGTTATATATGCATCTTTTAAAAGAAATTAGGTCAGGAATGGTGGCTAATGGCAGTAATCCCAGCACTTTGGATCAGGAGTTCAAGATCAGCCTGGGCAACATGGCGAAACCGCCGTCTCTACAAAAAATTCAAAAAAATCAGCTAGGCGTGGTGCTGTGTGCCTGTAGTCCCACCTACTCCAGAGACTGAGGTGGGAGGATCACTTGAGCCCAGGAGGTTTGAGGCTGCAGTGAGCTGTGATCGTGCTGCTGCATTCCAGCCTGGGCAACAGAGTGAGACCCTGTGTCAAAAAAGAAATGAACCAGGGTAGAAAAATTATACTTATTAACATGCAAAATATAGACAAGTCTGTATTATCTGATTCTAGATTACCAACATGCAGGCTAATAAAGTTATTAGTAGCGTTGATTTACTTGGGTTTTTAACATGCCGGAACACCATTACTGTACTTGCATTATGACATAGAGTACTTTATTAAGCTTAGTTTCTTTTTCTTTTTTTTTTCTGAGACAGGGTCTCACTTTGTCACGCAGGCTGGAGTTCATTGAGATGATCGTGGCTCACCATAGCCTTGACCTCTCCCGCTCAAGTGGTCCTCCCACCTCAGCCTCCTGAGTAGCTGGAACTGCAGACACACACCACCACACCTGGCAAATTTAGAAATTTTTTGTAGAGATGGAGTCTCCTTATGTTGCCTAAGAGAGGTCTCGAACTCCTGGGTTTAAGTGACTCTCCCATCTCTTTCTCCCAAAGTGTTGGGATTACAGGTGTGAGCCACCATGACCATACCTGGCTAATTAAAAAAAAATTTTGTAGAGACTGGGTCTCACTATTTTGCTCAAGGTAATCTCAAACTGCTGTGCTCAAGCACCCCTACCACCTTGGTGTCCCAGAGTGTTGGGATTTTACGAGCATGAGCCACCACACCCAGCTAAGCCCAGTTCTTAATGCTCCATTTTTAGTCAGCAACCTCTGGCTTATTAATTGTTTGAAGGTACTTCTTTATGCACTCTTTAGCTTAAATACCCTGTTGAGAACTCTATTTGCTAAGCTATCGAATTTCTGTGTCTGGTGTTTTTTGTGGTGTTGGTGTAGGTTTCCATGTAATTTTAAAAATTCTTGAGTGAACTAGACTTGTTTTAAAAAGCTAGCTGTTTTTGTAGCATCATTCATAACTTTTTTCATTTTACCTCCAAGAGTTTTTTTATACTAGTACCTCTTTGAAAAAAGCAGCTTTATGCCAATATTACCTTAAAAACAAGAGAGATTAAATCTCTCACAGGGTCCACTATTGATGGGACACTATTAGCACAAATGCCAACACAGTTCCTTCAAGGTGAATCTTTTGTTTCCAGATAGATATAACACTAAATATATTTTGACCCTTGCTTATTTAGGACAGCAGAAAAGTTTCGCTTTGTGGCAGAAATTTTCCTTGAATTACACTGTTATTTAGAAATCTGACATGACATCAGTGAAACCTGTTAACTTGTCAATCTGTAGAGAATCTGTTTTTTTCAGCTTATTATACACAGATGTCTCCAGCATCATGTGACATGTCATCAGTGCTTTGACTTATTGTTGTACTTGTTTAAATGGGACCTTTTCAATTTCTCAGACTACATCTTTTTTTTTTGAGACGGAGTTTGGCTGTTGTTGTCTAGGCTGGAGTGCAATGGTGCAACCTTGGCTCACTGCCACCTCTGCCTCCCAGGTTCATGCAATTCTCCTGCCTCAGCCTCTGGAGCTGTTGGGATTACAGGTGCACACCACCATACTGGCTAATTTTTTGTATTTTTAGTAGAGATGGGTTTCACCATGTTGGTTAGGCTGGTCTTGAACTCCTGACCTCAGGTGGTCCACCTGCCTCGGCCTCCCAAAGTGCTGGGATTACAGCCATGAGCCACTGCATCTGGCCTCAGACAGCATCTTGTCCTAGCATTTTCACTTACTATGATTTTACATATTGGCAATATTCTTTTCTCAACAACTGTGTGACTTTTCCTTTTCTAGATAAGTTGTGCTCTGAAATAGCTTGCTTCCTTAGTTTTTTTCACTAACTGTGACTTTGTCTCAACAAATGCTTTATTGTTTAGAGATTCTAAAAGCTGCTTGGTGTAGTCATCACCTTTTGCTTGTCAAATGGCTGTGATTTGTAGTAAAGGGCATTTTCCATTTTGCCAGAGGCATTGCTGAATTTGTAGGTTGTCACATATGACACAAAATTGAATAGTACAACTTGGATTACTGTCTCCTGTAAAACCCACTGATTTTCTTGTAAAGGTGGATTTTTTGTGTGTTTCCCTTGTTGCATGACTACACTGAAATGACTCAGATGATTGTAATTCTTCAGAATTATCAGGATTCTCTGGAGATTTATGTCTAGAATTGTTTTCTTTTATATCTTTTGTCTCACACCTCAACTTCAAGATTTTTTCTTTTTTTTTTCCAACTTTTAAGTTCAGGCATACATGTGCAGGATGTGCAGGTTTTTTATATAGGTAAACGTGTGCCTTGGTGGTTTACTGCATAGATATCCCATCACCCAGGTATTATAGGCCAGCATCTATTAGCTATTCTTCCCAATGCTCTCCCTCCCCTCACTCCCCACAGGTGCCCAGTGTGTGTTGTTGCCCCTCATGTGTCCATGTGTTCTCATCAGTCAGCTCCCACTTGTAAGTGAGAGCATGTGGTGTTTGCTTTTCTATTCCTGTGTTAGTTTGCTGAGGATAATGGCTTCCAACATCTGTGTCCCTGCAAAGGACATGATCTGGTTCCATTTTTTTTTTTTTTTTTTTTGAGACGTAGTCTTGCCCTGTCACCCAGGTTGGAGTGCAGTGGGACAATCTTGGCTCACTGCAACCTCCTCCTCCAGGTTCAAGCAATCCTCCTGCCTCAGCTTCCCAAGTAGCTGGGATAACAGGTGTGCGCCACCACACCCAGGTGGTTTTTTTTGTATTTTTAGTAGAGACAGGGTTTCACCATGTTGGCCAGGCTGGTCTTGAACTCCTGGCCTTGAGTGATCTGCCTGTCTTGGCCTCCCAAGTGCTGGGATTACAGGTATGAACCACCACGCCCAGCTAATCTTGTTCCTTGTTATGTCTGCAGAGTATTTCGTGGTGTATATGTACCACATTTTCTTTATCCAATCTATTGGTGGGCATTTAGGTTGATTCCATGACTTTGTCTCACACCTCAGTTTCAAAAATTGCCACACTGTTTGACATGTTTGTAAAACATAAACACTAATGTAAAACAGAGGGGCCTAGTAATTAATTAAATGAGATGACTGCAAAAAGTACAAAATTACATAAACCTCAGAACGTACTTTACTTCTAATTTACACATTCTACATTTTGCAGCATTTACAACAGCAGCAGGGCAGTTGGGGCTAGAGACCAGATGAGTCTTGTGACCCCATTTTATGATAATGACTGAAGGAAGCAAGGGTTTATCTGTCATGTTAAAGATGTCCAAAACAGATATGGTGCCAGCACCAATTTGGCTCTCTAATGCACACTGTCTCCAAAACAGTACACAAAAAATGATGTTTCTTTTTAATTGAAGTTACTCTAGTAAGTCATCAAGGAAAAGAAAACACTTATATTACTTTGCTAAATTGAGGCAAAGAAATTTGTTAGTATGATTTCCTAGATTTTTTATTAGGGAAAAACTTATAAAATTTTTAATACCTAAACAGTATTTACTTTTTCTCTATTTGTGTTGCTGTTGTTGTAATAGCTAAAAATTCAGCAGTGAAGTTATCAGTACAAGAAAATGAGTCTCCTAGAATAGCTACTGAAACTAAAGTGCGTTGTCACCTAAGTCATTTATCATATAAGATATTGGTATCCACACATGATTTACTGCCTCTATTCTCAGTCTCTTGTTCAGATCCATTGTGCATCCAACTTCAGGGATCTGTTCATCTCTTTCTTTTCTTTTCTTTTCTTTTTTCCTTTCTTTCCTTCTTTTGAGATGGGGTCTTGCCATATTACTTACCCAGGCTGGACTTGAACTTGTGGGCTCAGGTGATCCTCCCACCTCAGCCTCCCGAGGAGCAGGAACTACAGGCCTGTGCCACTGCTCCTGGCTTCCTTTTTGACTCCTGGCCTTTTCTGTTTCACTACTTAAAATTAATGGCTGATTCATCTTTGAAACATTGGGTTTACCCATCAACCACTAATTGTATTCTCCCTTTAGCTGCATTGCTAGCCATCATGGGTAAACATTTCATCTAATCAGACTTGGCTCAGGAAATCTTCTGTCTTAAGACTATTGAGACTTTCCCTGCAAGCCAGGTTTTCTCTTGCTGCACCAATGGGATGAAGCACTTTAGTTATGCTGTTTTTACAGATACCACTTTTGTCATGACCATTTTCTTATAGAGGTTAGGCATTGACTTCTAGGGTCCTTTTATGTGGCTGCCTTTATGCATAAATAATTACTGAATTAGAGAAGGAATTAGCCTTTTAGTAAGGGATGTTATTTTCCTCAAGAAAATCATATTACTGTTGTTTTATCTGCCCAGTTTTATTACTTCTGAATAACTCAAATAGTGGGTCTTGGATATACCTTCTTTATGCTTCAGTCTGTTTCCCATTGGTATCAGTGTTTTGGTTGGGTTGTAAATAAGGACTGCTCCTCATGACTGAAGTAGTTGATACTAGAGCGTTTTACAGGTGTTCAAAAAAACTATTTTTTTCTTTTTTGAGACAGGATCTTGCTCTGTTTCCCAGGCTGGCTTGCATTGGCATGATCATGGCTTACAGAGTAGCCTCAACCGCCTAGGCTCAAGCAATCCTTCTACCACAGCCTCTCGAGTAGCTGGGACTATAGTCACGTGCAACCATGCCTGGCTAATTTTTAAAATTTTTTGTAGAGACAGTATCTCACTGTGTTGCCCAAGATGGTCTCAAACTCCTGGGCTCAAGTGATCCTCCTGTGTTGGCCTCCCAAAGTGCTCAGATTATAGGCATGAGTCACTACACCTGGCTCAAAACTTTTTTTTTTTTTTTTAGATAGAATCTTGCTCTGCCACCCAGGCTGGAGTCCAGTGGCGCGATCTTGGCTCACTGCAACTTCTGCCTGCCGGATTCAAGCAATTCTCTTGCCTCAGCCTCCCAAGTAGCTGGGATTACAGCCGTGCACCACTATGCCTGACTTATTTTTGTATTTTTAGTAGAGACAGGGTTTCACCATGTTGGCCAGGCTGGTCTTAAACTCCTGACCTTGTGATCCTCCTGCCTCGGCCACCTAAAGTGCTGGGATTACAGGTGTGAGCCACTGTGCCTCGCCAAATTTTTTTTTTTTTTTTTTTTAAATAGAGATGGAGGTCTTGCTATTTTGTTCAGGCTGGTCTTGAACTCCTAGGCACAAACGGTCCTCCTGCCTTGGCTTCCCAAAGTGCTGGAATTACAGGCGTCAGTCACTGTGCCAGCCTTTTTGGTGTTTCAGGGCACATGTTGAGCTTTTTTGTTGTTATCTAAGAGCTCTTTATTTGTTGTGAGAGATACTTAGTTAAAAAATATCCAAATATTTTAAGGTGAGTTATTAATTACATTGGGGCAATGTGGTATTTGTTTCTGAAATTTAATGTTTTTTCTTTGGTTTTGTCTCTTGGTAAGTCTATAAGTAATACTATAATTTTATCCTTTATCAAGTATCTGCTTCCTGATGATTGGTAACTTCTTGTAAATAGAATATTTATAGGCAACAGTGTTAGCTTTTATTCCAGGAAATAAATTACTAACACATTTTATTTTATTTAGTGTCAGAAATTTGGAGAATATCATAAAGATGACCCAAGTTCCTTCAGATTTTCAGAAACTTTCTCCCTTTATCCACAGGTAAGTAGGTAAAAGATTCGTATTCTTTTCTTTTCTTTTTTTTTTCTTTTTTAGAGACAGGCTCTCACTGTGTCACCCAAGCTGAAGTGTAGTGGCTCCATCATAGGTCACTGTAACCTGGAACTCCGGGCTTAGTCAGCCTCCTGAGTAGCCAGGACTACAGGTGTGTATTTTTTTTGGTAGGGATGGTTTCCTGCTATGTTGCTCAGCCTGGTCTTGAACTCTTAGCCTCAAGAAGTCCTTCTGTCTTGGCCTCCCAGAGTGCTAAGATTGCCACACCCAGCCAGACCCATATTCTTTTCTTGTGCGGCCAGTAGCATTGAGCCTCATTTTTCCTTTTTTATTGCTCTTTTTATAGTACCTATTTTATTGGGTTATTCTTTTCATTAGATAAGTTTGGGATAGCTAAGAAATTAATATTATGCTGTGAGTAGTTGGTGAAAAGTATATAGTATTTTTATATTGGCCTTGCAAATAGTCATTTATTTGTGGTGAATAGAGACTTACACTGGAACCCTGCAGTGGACAGAATTAGGTGTCAGGCTGGTTAGTTTTCCATTTGACATAAGGGGACCTAATTATAGTGGTACCAGAAGGACTTCATCTGAGGTTATTGTATCAGTTAGCTAGTCTTGCAGTATAGTATCACACCTGAGAACAATTTTATGGGGCCAGACTAGATAAATAGAAAAGAAACTAATTTGATTTACCTTACAGAATGTTTTCCACCTGGAGCAGTGGAATCTATCCCTCCATCCTCCTGTTGATTTGATAGATATTTTTAAGTCTCTGTGTTCACAGTACTATGTGCAAGGAACTTTAGGAGGATACAGGTGACTGAGATGGATCCCTCTTACAAGGAGCTTTTAGTCTAAAGGGCGAGATGTGAAATACACATAAACAGCACAGAACAGAAACTGAGAAATGCTATGAGAGATATATAGAATCTAAAGGAAACTTAAAGGAATCCTTCTAAATGGATGATTTTATATATCTTTTGAAGGAGGAGGTGGCCTTTTAGCTTAACTTGGAAGGATGATTAATATTGAGAGTGGAAATTCATATTTTTGCCCATGAGAACTTTGTTTAAAGCATCAGCTTTCTTTTTCAGAGCTGCTCTGTTTTTTGTTTTTTTGTTTTGAGGATCCTTTATTGTTGATTAATCTATAACCCAGAAACTCCATGCTTATAGAGGGGAGACTTCCCTAAAACCTCTGGCGAGATTTTGGAGAATCGGGAAAAGGCAAGGTCTACTTGTCTTAAGGCATGTAAAATTCTTTGTTTTGTCATTTTTGTAGCAGAAACTAATAGGAAAATGATTGAGGACATTAGCCTAAGTATTTGACTAAGTATCTCCACACTTTCCTTTCTTTCTCTTCTGTCCCTGCCTCAAGCCTTCTTGTTGGGCTTTTAGATCTTCAGTGAGATCTGGACATTTCCATCTTTCTCCCTTTCCTGGAAATAGGAAGCAGGGGACCCTGGAATACCTTTTGTCTTTTTCAAAGTCTGGTAGTCTTCTAAAAGATGGCATAGACCAAATTTAAGGGAAGTCTTCATCCCCAAAATATTACCTAACATTTGCCAATTAGTCATTTCTGTGAGTAAACAGGAATGACTGAAGTAGTAAGGGATGCAAGAGCCTCTCAATGAATTGTAGATCCTGAAAACAGAATAGGAATGAGAATTTCAGTGAGTGACATGTTAGGAGAAAACTGTTGAATGAGTCCCAGACAGGAGCAACATATAGGCACTTGGGACCTGAGGGTTGGAGGAATTTAAGAGAAGTGTCTAAAGACAAGTGGGAATACTTTCTGGCTGATCTTAATCAGTTTTATCAAAGACCCAATGTAGCTATCCATTATTCAGGCCTAACTCAGACTCTTTGATTTCTTTCATGTGAGGAGTAGGTGGAGGGGAAGAAAGTGAAAGGAGAAAGAAGCAGTGAAACAAAATCTGGAGAATGTTTCTTAGGTATAGGGAAAACGTTAAATATTAAGAAATTATATGGGGGTGGGTGTGTGTGTGTGTGGGTGTGTGGGTGTGTGTGTGTTATATCAGTGTAGACCCTTCCCAGTACAATTTTTAAGTCATTGTATTAGTTCTCATGCTGCTAATAGACATACCTGGGACTGGGTAATTTATAAAGGAAAGAGGTTTGTTTGTTTGTTTGTTTATTTATTTATTTATTTTTGAGACAGAGTCTCACTCTGTCATCCAGGCTGGAGTGCAGTGATGCCATCTCAGCTCACTGCAGCCTCTGCCTCCCTAGTTCAAGCAATTCTTGTGCCTCAGTCTCCCGAGTAGCTGGGTTATAGGCGCGTGCCACCACATCTGGCTAATCTTTTTTTGTAATTTTAGTAGAGATGGGGTTTCACCATGTTGGCCAGGCTGGTCTTGAACTGCCAACCTCAGGTGATCCACCTGCCTCAGTCTCCCAGAGTGCTAGGATTACAAGCGTGAGCCACCATGCCTGGCCAAGAGGTTTAATTGACTCACAGTTCCACATGGCTGGGGAGGACTCACAGTCATGGCGGAAAGCTAAGGGGAAGCAAGACACATCTTAACAATGCAACAGGCAAGAGAGCATGTGCAGGGGAACTCCCATTTATAAAACCATCAGATCTCCTGAGACTTACTACCACGAGAACAGTATGGGGGAAACTGTCCCCCGACATGATTCAGTTCTCTCCACCTGGCCCTGCCTTGACAAGTAAACTTGAATTGACAATTCAAGGTGAGATTTGGGTGGGGACACAGTCAAATCATATCAGCCATTTATAAGTAGAAAATTTGTAGTTTATTTTTATATCTTCTTAGAATCTTTTGGTGTTGGTAATGAGTAGTAATGAAAAAGCCCAAAGATATGGTCGGGGGGGGAGGATTAAAAACAAAGAATGGTCATGGTTTACTACCTGGCACCAGCCTCTGAATAACTTAGATTTGAGCAAGGGGTTTTTGTCTTTTTTTTCTTTCTTTTAAATACAGACAAGGTCTTGTTATGCTGCCTAAACTGGTCTCCAACTCCTGGGCCTCAAGCCATCCCAGAGTGTTGGGATTACAGGTGTGAGCCACCATGCCCAGCCATCCTTTTCTTACTTTAACTTAAAATTTTTTTTTCTTTCTTACTTTAATTTTTTTCTTGTAGAATTTTATTTATTTATTTATTTATTTATTTATTTTTGAGATGGAGTTTTGCTCATGTTGCCTAGGCTGGAGTGCAATGGCGCAATCTTGGCTCACTGCAACCTCCACCTCCTGGGTTCAAGCAGTTCTCCTGCCTCAGCCTCTTGAGTACCTGGAATTACAAGCATGCGTCACGACGCCCGGCTAATTTTTTGTATTTTTAGGAGAGATGGGGTTGCTCCATGTTGGTCAGGCTGGTCTCGAACTCCCGACCTCAGGTGATCCACCCGCCTTGGCCTCCCAAAGTGCTGGGATTACAGGCATGAGCCACTGCGCCCCACCAGAATTTTATTTTTAGGCTACTGATAAATTTCGTGAATAGGATTCCTTTCTGAGGGATATAAATTCTTGTAATAACATGTTTTGTTATGTTGTTAATAGTTTGTAATCAAATGTTTTTGCTAATAGTAAACACCTGTTGTAATATTAAAATCAGTAACAACTATCTCACATGTTTATCTTACAGTTTATGTTTCATTTAAGAAGATCCTCTTTCCTGCAAGTTTTTAACAATAGTCCTGATGAGAGTTCATATTATCGTCACCATTTTATGCGTCAGGATCTGACCCAGTCTCTAATTATGATTCAGCCTATCCTGTATGCATATTCTTTTAGTGGACCACCAGAGGTAAGAGGGACAGAAAATAAATTGGTCTTGTTATTGCAATGTGTGGCATTAAAAAAAGTGAAAACAACTAAAAAAATAGATATAGTTACTAAATATAAGAATTTAAATGAATGGAAATCTCAACCTATTTATATATTCACTTAAAATATTTATGAATGTTTACTATATGCTAGATACCACGTAGACTGTATTAGAAGATTGTTAAAAATTCTTTTTTTTTAAATGAGATGGAAGAGACTTTTAGATCATTTTGTCCAGCCATTTGGTTGATCAAATCCTCCAAAGCATATGATTATTCTTTGTGTCTTTAACAATGTCCAGAAGTGATTATGATTCTGTAGACTGTAGCTTATTCCAGAATTTAGTGTCTATGACAGTTATGACATTCTGTCTAAACAAAGTCTCTTGTTTTAATCTCATTTTCCTTTGTTTTTTTGAAAACATAAAAAATAGTTGACTATAAAGACATATGCTTAGAAGATTGATAGTTATCCATTTAACCTTCTTAGCAAACTGTTCCACTTATTTTAAACTGTTACCAAATGAACAATTTTTCCATTCTATAGTTAAAATGATCTGTTTTACTACTTGAAAGTATGTAGTTACTGTATTTGAAAATACTTTAGTAAGGTCAATATAAAGAGAATATTTAAAATATCTATTGATTAGTGATCCCTCATGATACTATTATTTACGGTTTTATAAAATAGTGGGCAAAATGTTTTATTTCGTTACAATAATTTTTTTGTAATTTGTCAAATAGTTTCTGTTTTTCTAGGAAAATATATACTTTTAATATGTTGGTTTAGCTGTATCTATTTTGGCCTCATATTCTTTGAATCAGGAATGTTTTAGAAATAACTTTTTTTTTCTTCTGAGTAATACACATACATTGTAGACATCTGAAAAATGTAGAATAGTGTTTAGAAGAAAATTGGAATCCCACTATCCCTAGTGCCTGCTCCCATTAAATTTCAACCTTTTCATTTAATCCATGAATCCTATCAGCTTCATTTTCTTAGGGGTTTGCTTTTGGAGTTATCTTCTTTCTGTCCTATATCATTACTTTCTGTCCATCTGGATCATTCTTATTAAATAACATAGAAACCATAACAACACTCATGTTTACAAAAAACGGACAAAACCCACCCACCATGACCCATGCTTTCTATAACTACCACCCCATTTCTCTGCTCCTGGTGAGAGTTGAACTCAAAAAAGTTATTTGTTGTTTATACTTTCTCACCTCACATTGTCTTCTCAACCTATATAAGTAAGACTTTTATCCCTAACATTATATTGAAATGGCTCTTTTAAAGATCACCAATGTCCTACATCTCACCAGAGCTCTCAACAGTATTTACCTAGTCCTCACTAGTACTCAGTCCTTGAAAACCTTTTGCCCTAGGCTTCTGTGACACCTACTATACCTTCCTGGTTTTCCTCTTACTCGCTCACCGTTCCTTCTCAGTCTTGTCCTAGCTTTCCCTTTCAGACTTCTAAGTGTTGACATGCTTAAGGGATCAATCTTCTGGCTTTCCCTGTCTTCCTTCTCTCTCAGTGATGTAGTCTAATCCCATTGCTTTAATTACCATCTTTGTGCATGTGAGACCTAAATTTACGTCATCAGTTCAGACTACTCCCTTTCATTTCATATGCAGAACTATTTTCCCATGTGCTCCAAATTTGCTCTATCCCAGGCCTTTCCCCATTAGGCTTAGGAGTTATCCTTGAATTCTTCTTGACTTTACTCTATTTTTAAATTGTTTTTTACCTCAGATTAAAGAGATTCCTTAAAAAATTAAAGTACACTGTAAGAATTCATAATAGCAAGAGATGTTAAGTAATAAAATATAAATTTGAAATTTAGGCCATGTGTAGTGGCCTAAATTTCAAATTTAGTGGTGAGCCTATAATCTCAGCCTTTGGGAGGCTGAGGCAGGAGGATCACTTGAGTCCAGGAATTTGAGACCAGCCTAGGAAGCACAGTGAGACCCTGTCTCTACAAAAAAAAATGAAAAAGTTAGCTGGATGTGGTGTTACACACCTGTAGTCCCAGCTACTTAGGGGTCTGAGGTGGGAGGATTGCTGGAGCCTGGGAGTTTGAGGCTGCAGTGAGCTGAGATCATGCCACTGCACACCAGCCTAGGTGACAGAGTAAGACCCTGTCTACAAAAAAAAAAAAAAAAAAAAAGAAAAAGGAAACTTGGAAAATAACCTGGAAACATCTATTTTATACTGTTAAGTAGTTTATTTTTCCTTTTTCCTCATTTCTCATTGTTTTCTTTATGTTAGCCGGTTCTTCTTGATAGCAGTAGCATTCTTGCAGATCGTATTCTTCTCATGGACACATTCTTCCAGATTTTGATTTATCATGGTGAGGTAAGATTTCAATAGCGTTTAAAGCTATGCATGTAAAGTCTTTTTACTTAGAAAAGTTTTCTTCCCTCTTATTGTATGGCTAGTGTTTCATCTATGATAAACTTTGATTTCCATTTTTATGAAGTATATATAAAATATTGTTCTGCCTACTATAAGGTTTTAGGCTTCAATTGCAATTTATCCACATGTGATTATTTTATTCATTCATCCACACACGATTGGATTTTGCACAAAGCATAGTGTTGTGAAAGTAAGAACACTGACTGTACATAGACAAAGGGCGCTTTTGGCTTTTACCTGAAAACATTAAGAGGGGAAAGGTCAGTCTTCGTCAGTGGGCAGGCTTTCCTTTTATGTTATGCAATCGTTATAAGTTATTATTAAGTGTTCTACATGATCTTGAAAACTCACTTAAAGCATACATGAATTAAAATTTGTAACTTCACTTAATCGGAATGGTAAATGATTACAGAGAGCAGAAGATTTTAGTAGCTATTAAGCTTTAATCCAGGTATTTAGCAGACCTTGATTCATTCCTTCAGTTATTCATTCAGCCAATTGTTAAGTGCTTCCTTTGGATGCTTTGGAAGATATAGATGTTCTTTTTTCACAGATCTGCTCTCAAACTTACAGTCTAATATTTTAGTAACTTCTGTAGATTAATTTTTTCAGTTGCTTTAATTGTAAATGATTTTAGATTTGCACTGTGGCTGGGTGTGGTGGCTCATGCCTCTAATTCCAGCCCTTTGGGAGGCCAAGGCAGGAGGATTACTTGAGCCCAGGAGTTCAGGACTAACCTGGGCATCATAGTGAGACCCCCTCTCTACCAAAAAAATTTTTAAAAAGATTTGTACTGTAATAATAAAGACATTGCTCAAAATATTCTTTTAAATAGTACTACCCAGGACTTTTTTTTTTTTTTTGAGACTGGGTCTTGCTCTTTCACCCAGGCTGGAGTGCAGTGGCACTATCTTGGCTCACTGCAGCCTCTGCCTCCTGGGTTCCAGTGATTCTCCTGCCTCAGCTTCCTGGGTAGCTGGGACTACAGGCGCATGCCACCACGCCCAGATAATTTTTGCACTTTTAGTAGAGACAGGTTTTCACCATGTTGGCCAGGCTGGTTTTGAACTCCTGACCTCAGGTGTTCCACCCGCCTCAGCCTCCCAAAGTACTGGGATTACAGGCGTGAGCCATCACGCCTGACCTACCCAGGACTTTTAAAAGATTTAATTATTATTATTATTGTAAATTATTTTTAGTTGATACCAGTTTCTAATGCCCTTTACTTGTTAAGAATAATACCTGTTTTAACTTCGTTGCCTCTGTTAAAAAATGAAAAAACCTGTAATACTGACAGAGCTTTTTTTTTTTGCTTTTTGTTTCTTTTATGGTGATTTTTACTTTTTCAAGTAGCTTGTTAAAGGAGAAATCAGAAATGCACATGATTATTTTATACAGAGGTATAAAGCTATGGAAGAATGTGTTGACTGATTCAGCTAACTTAGAAAATAAACCAGGTATAAGATTTTAGATAATTTAGTTACATGGTTTTTAGAGCTACTTACCTTAATAAATGGATTGATTCAATTGCTTTCACGCATCATAAGCTTAGGTAGATAGCTTTTTACTAACATTCATTTGGTAAGCATAGTGTTTTAAAAATTTTCTGACTTACCTAAGTATTCTTTCATTTTACTTTTAAAGGAGAAGAAATATTCTAATTTTATATTTATTAAGAATATTTTCTCTACTGAAATTAATATTTTTAACTTTAAAAAAATTGAGGTAAATGGAATAATGGTCTATAATTTTCTTAGTTTCTAAAGATTACTGTCTTTGGAAAAACCTCAAGATTTTTGGATGGGCAAGAAATTTAAAGTAATTTCTTTAATTGTTTTAAAATTAGACCATAGCACAGTGGCGGAAGTCAGGATACCAGGACATGCCTGAATATGAAAATTTCCGCCACCTTCTGCAAGCCCCAGTGGATGATGCACAGGAAATTCTTCACTCCAGATTTCCAATGCCAAGATACATTGACACTGAACATGGAGGCAGCCAGGTAAGTAGTGTTAATTTGTTTGTGTGTTTGTTGTTAGGTTTGCAGTGAGGTGTACCTCCTTGCCTTCTGATTTTAATAGATTGCTTCATAAAGCGAACAAAAAGGTAAGGAGATAGGAGGGGAAGGTATTAGTGCTTACTTTTTGCATTAGCTTTTGAGAGCAAAGCAGTAAGATTATTGACTAGTTGCCTAAACTTGGCAGTTTCCATCATCTCCTGTCTCTAGCCTAGCTTCCTGAACAGGGCCAGGATGGCATTGTGGTGATATACTAGCTTTGGTTGAACAAGAAGATGTGAGCAGCTTGGAAAATAATATACTTTTCTTAAAGCTGTTTATTTACTCAAAGTCTATGAATATGACATTTGTGGTAACTTACATTTTTTCATTGTCTTCATTCCATTATTCCAGTTTTCTAGAAAATAAAATTTTATGTAATAGGAAAACACTGTGGTATTATGAAAAGGTTTTGTGGTTTTTAGGATTATGAGGATACATATACATTAGATACATGTACATACATACACAGTTGCTTTGAGACCTTCAGAAGGCTAAGTTAGGTTTCTTAACATACTCTCATAAAATACTTCTTACTTCTCTTTTGTAATTCTTAAAAGAGTTGTAATAAATTAATTGTAAGTTGTTATTCATTTGTTTTACTTGCTCTTTGAAGGCAGGGACTATGCTTTGTATTCCCTAATGCCTAGTATGGTATTATAAAATAGGTAGCAAATATCAATAACTATTACTCAGAAATGATAATTGTTATTAGTTTTACTGTATTTACATGAGTTATTTCTTATTGAGAATTTGCAAAGTACTTCTGCATGCCTTATCTCATTTGATCCTCATAAGAATTCTAGTGTTATTTTCATTTAACAGACAATAAAACTGAGATCTAGGTTACTTATGGCCAAGGAAACACAGTAAATGCAGGACTGGGATTTGAGTCCAGTACTCCAGGGCCAGTGCTCTTCACTGTTAGGTTAAACTGATTCCTTAGAGAGTACAAAAAGATTTTGTATGATACTAAACTTCAAAAGATGTTTCTATGTCCTTCCATTATGAATTAAAAATCTTACTGGTTCTTTCATTGACATCTCACTATGTGTATTACCATTTTCCTCTTTTACTCTGGTTATTATTTTCATGATGATAAGCCATAGTGGGTAGAAGGATGAAATGTTGGATCACTTGTCTCATAGAATCACCTGTGGTTTAAGAAAGTATAAGGGTCATTATTTTAAACAAAAGAACACACAGATTTTTATGGCTTTTATTTTTATTATTTTTTGGGATTTTGAACTTCTGACCGAGTATTTCGTAATTTCACACTAACCTTGTCATAATTGTTGCACACATAATTTTTATATGCTGAGTTTTGGATTCAACAATGTATTTGTTATTTTGGATGTATGATTTGGAGAGAAGAGGTGCATTTATTGTTTATTTGTAACACATAGTGACCTATACATTTCAAAGTTTAATATTTTAAAAATTAATTTAATAAAATTAATTTTACCAACACGTACTAAATAAAATTGATTTTGCATGATATAATTATTCAGCTGATATTGACTGAAATTTTCTGTGGATAATGTTATTTCTTCTTTGCTTTTAAGGCCCGTTTCCTCCTTTCAAAAGTCAACCCTTCACAGACTCATAATAATATGTATGCCTGGGGGCAGGTAAGTTTAAATAGCAGGTCTTGGAAATTATTTCTTTGTGTATTTATTGTTTGTTATTTTAGTGAAAGCTACATTTTTTTTCTGTGTATTTAGTAATGATTTCTGTTGGAAAAGTAATGTAAAAATGAGAGTAGAAAACAGAATTAATATTAGGTGACACCATAGAAAAAAAGTGATCCTATCAAATAGACTCCAAGTTTAGCACTATACCCTTGAGACAGAAAGCAATAAAGTGTATAAGACAGGAAGTGGTGACTCAAGTTTAATGCTAGGTTGTGAACCACAAAAGGCTACAATAAGCCAAGAGAGGCCAGGAATCATAGTTGAGCAGGAGGGGCAGGAACCCTGCAAATCATTATTGGTATAGTTTAATTTGGTAAAAGTCCTGCTGGGTGTGGTGGCTTATGCCTGCAATCCCAGCTGCTCGAGAGGCTGAGGCAGGAGGATCACTTGAGGCCAAGAGTTTGAGACCAACCTGGGCAACATAGCAAGACTCCATCTCTTAAAAAAAAAAAGTATTAACCTCTTGGTATAATATATCAACATTTATTGAGTGTCCAGTATGTTTAGGACTTTGTATTGGCTCTTTAGGGTGCAGTTATTAACCATGCCTTTGAAGAGCTTGTAGTCTAATATTAGAGATAAGATACATAACTAAGTAAATGACAAGGCAGAATGGGATATTTGTCGTTAGAAAGCTATCAAGTATTAAAAGGTTAGAAGAGGAAGATGGAAGGAGGTCACATGGTGGTAGCAGGAAGAGGATATGTAATCAGAAAAGAGCTCAGAAAAAAGAAACATTTCATTTAAAGAATGGTTATTTTGGTAATTGGAAATTGTATGAGGAAGGGAAATCTAGGTAGAGAATAGTATGGGCAAAGATAAAAGACTACATGTAGAGCTGACGAGAAGAACATAAAACGGAAATGTGTTGTACAACTAAATTGTGGAGGATCTTGAATGTCAGGTTGAGGAGTGAGAAGTTGAATATTTATTTGGTAAGTAATGGAGAGTCATTGAAGGTGGACAGAGGGGCAGATTTGAGTCTTAGATAGTATAGTTGAATCTTAAGATTAAATGGAAGCAATCTGTAGATTGAAAGTATATTTATGAAAATAATCCAAGTGAGAGGGAATAAAAACAAGATGGTGAAAGGAATAGATTTGGGAGATATTTCAAAAGTAGACTCAATAGGACTTGATTAGAAGTTGCAGGAAAGTAATTATTCCAGGGCATGGCAACTATGCACAAAATCTGAATTCTGATTGGATCCTGGATTAGAGAGAGAGAATAGCTATAAAGAATATAATTGGGATGATTTGTGAGATTTGAATATAGATCATATATCAGATAACTAGTACAGAATTACTAAATTTCTTGAGAGTGATAATGGTGTGGTTATGTGGGAGATTCTTCTTGATCTTAGGAGATACATATTGAAGTATTTAGGGATAAAATGTCATGATGGCTTCAATTTCCAGAAGTTATTCAACAAAAAGAAGAAAAAAGGAAAAGTAATGTAGAAACATAAAGCATATGTGGCAAAATGTTAACAGTTAATTTAGGATTTAGGTATGCTATGTGGGTGTTTATTGTACTTCTCTCTCAACTTTAATGTAGTCTTGAATTTTTAAAAAATAGGTGAGGGGAAACAGGGTATTTTGGGGTTTTGAGCCTGAGTGACCAGGAGAACATGTGTCAATAAATGAGAGAGTGGAGAGAAATTGTTTGGTTTAGACACTGAGTTTGAGGTGCTACCTAGAAGGCCTTATTGAGCCACAATAAGATGACTATATTGATTATGGCCATGTTGAGTAGGCTGTTGGCAATTTGGGTTTGATGGTCAGGGCAAGGACGAGAAAGGTGATACTTAAAGTCATCACAGTAAATGCTTGTCTAAAGAGAGAGTAAAGAGGTAAAGGAGAGATGAGACAAGAAACTTCAAGGGAGTACAAGTAGTAGGAGTGTCTAGTGAATTATCAGAGAGGCAGAATGAAAAGTAGTGTGTCATAAAAGGTGACTCTATAGAAGGAAGAAGAAGGAGGTAACAAAGAGACATGCTGCAGACAGTTGAAGGGGGATACAGAGTGAGAAAAGGTGCTTGGATTTGATGGATAGGTTATTTGTGGCCTTCTGTAAGTGGCTTTAGTATGGTAGTTGAGTAAGAAGACAAATTTATAAGAAATTAGTGGGTGGCAAAGAAGCGGAGGTTGAAAGTATGAATGATTCTTTTGCAGATTTAACCTGAGGATAAGCAGTAGGATAGGCAGATGATTGTTATTACAGTAAGGGCACAGAACTTATTTGGAGACCAAGCATAAAGAGCCAGTATAGGAAAGACACAAAAGAACAGACATTTAAGATCCTCAAGAGAGAATATGATCATAAGCACTATATGGAGGTTAAGCATTGATAAGGAGGCAGGACACTTATTTCTGCAAAAGCAAAAGGTAAGAAGGGTGAAGACAGAAAGATTTTTAGGTGGAGTGAAAACTCACATTGAATAATTGCCTGTTTCTTTTCAATAATACGAGATTATTTAGGAGTGAAAAAGGCTGGAGTTAAGGACCAAAAAACTAGAAAAGATTAAAAACAGTTGTAAAGAATACAAAAATAAACTGAAGATTAATAGAAGACTTTTGCAGCAGTGGTGAGGGCCCATTTTATTTACTAAAAATTTCTAGAGCATGCTTCCATAATGTTTTTTGTTTGTTTGTTTTGTTTTGTTTTGTGTTTTGAGACGGAGTCTTGCTCTGTTGCCAGGCTGGAGTGCAGTGACACGATCTTGGCTCACTGCAACCTCCGCCTTCTGGGTTCAAGTGATTCTCCTGCCTCAGCCCCCTGAGTAGCTGAGACGACAGGTGCACACCACCATACCAGCTAATTTTTTTGTGTATTTTTAGTAGAGACGGGATTTCACCATGTTGGCCAGGATGGTCTCGATCTCCCGACCTCGTGATCTGCCCACTTCGGCCTCCCAGAGTGCTGGGATTACAGGTGTGAGCCACCGTGCCTGAGAAAATCCATGAATAGATTTTAATTGTTTCATGAGGGCCTTATGACCCAGTCACCTTGTAAAGGCCCCGCCTTTATACTGCCACATTGGGGATTTTCAAAATGAGTTTTAGAAGGGACGGATATTCAAACCATAGCACCATCCTACAATTGCATGATTGAATTTGTGTAATATCCCTGTCCTGTCATCCTTTTTCCCCCCTCCATTTCTTATGGCATTGCTCCTGTTAGATTATTAATTACTTGAGGCAATAACTGTCATTTTCATTTTTGATTTTCCATAGCACCTTAAACATAGCATATATTGAATACAATAGATCTGGACAGGAGAGAGCAGAGATTAGAATATTGGAAATCTATGGAGGTGGTTAGGAGTTAAGGAGTTTTTGTAATATAGATAAATAAATTGAATCCAAGGTCCAAAAGTTCTAAAAGGTGGGGAGGTTATAACAAGTAAAGGAGACTAATCTTGGAGGAGTGGAAGGCTGGTAATGGAAAATGCAGACTCTGCAAGTTACTTGACTTCTCTTTGTTTTCACTTCCTTGTCTGTAGAGTTTAATAAAAGGTGCTTGAAATGGACAGTAATACTCAGTAAATATTAGCTATTAGTTTTCACTGTTATCAATGGAAAAAAAAGTCACTTCTTATATTTAACATGGGAAAGGAAACCTATTTTAAACTATGAAGTGTAATTGTTACTGCCTGGAAGTAGGGGCATTACAGGCATAAATAAGAGTGCTCAGGTCTTTCTTAAGATTTTTATGAGTAATGATGTTAACATTTTAATAATCATGATATCTAATAAACTGAATCTACTACGTTTTAGTCACTATGCTTTCAGTGTACTCTCATTTAATTAACTTTTATAAGGTGGATACTAGTAATCCTATATTTCATGAGAGGAAATTGAGACACATATAGATTAAGTATTTTATGCAAGATCATGTAGCTAAACTGTGGCAGGGTCTAGATTTTAGCCAAGGTCTGTCTGACTCCAGATTCTGAATTTTTTATCATTAAGTTAATTTGCTGATTGCATTTAAGGGAAATAACTTAGTAAACAAGCATTTTACTAAAAATTAATGGACTCTAATAACTCACAGGATGTTTTGGGGGTCAGAAATCAAGGACCCTATGATAAGTATTATCCATGAACGGCCGTAAGAGGGCGCCACTGCAACACTTCTGTGACGGTGCTGGAGGCCTCCGTTGCTGTAGTGCTTCGTATACTGAATAATGTAAAGCTTGTACCTTTCTGCTTAGTCTTGGATATATTTTGAATAGAAAAAGGATCCATTTGAAAACTTGAGATCAGCTAACTGCTAATTTTTATAAAATTGAGCATTGGTATTTATATTTCAAGTAGGAGCTCTGTGGTCTGTAAATTAGGAAATCCACATATTTTGTCTTGACTCGGAGAAATGGCTCTGAGATTGCGTGACTTGAGATGGAAAACATTGTAAAATGAAAAAATCAGGCATAGTAACAGAAAGAAAAAAGTAAGAACCATGAGGTTGTATTGGTTTAGGTTACAGTTTTGAGACTTGTAATTCTCTATGTTAGCTATGCATATAGAATAAAGAAAAGTATTTCATTGTTGCAGATTTTTCAACAGAAGGACCAATAAAAATAGCTAAAACGTGTTGTATGTCTACTGTGTGTACGAGGTATTGTTTTGTTTGCTTTCTGTATGAGGTATTGTTCTGTTTGCTTTCTAGAATTTAACTCATTTAATCATTACAACAACCTGTGTAAGATAGGTCCTGTTATTATCCTTGTTTTACACGTGGGGAAACTAAGACATAGTTTAAGTAACTTCTTCAGTCATATGGGTAGGAAGTGGGAGAGCCAGAATTTGAGCCTAGGCATTCTGGCTCCAGACTCTATGTCCTTAATCTCAGTAAGGGATTGCCTCCTTTCATTATCAAATCTTTCAAGTTCTTTTGAATAAACACGATAAAATTGATTTCCCTTTATTCAGGAGAGGTCATGGCATGTTTGTGGCTATGCCAGACTAGAATCACAGGAGCTGTAAGTTCTCGCCTCACATTTGCCATTAATTTGCTGAAATTACTTAATTTCCCTGTTTTAGACATTGAATATTTATAATTAAGAAGAACTTGAGTATAAGAAGAAAAATATAAAATTCAGATAAAAAATCTTCTAGAAATACCTTCTTTTGCTGAAGTAAAGTTTCATTGTTAATGGATTGGGTTACCAAGATCATTCTGTCAACACAGTTTTTATTAAAATGTATAATAGGAATTTTCCCTAACTCTTGTTAATTACTTGGAACCTACAGAAATCAATTAAAATGACCTGAAAAGTTGAGAAGCATAGTTTATTTTAAAAATGATATTATGAGTTTGCTTCCTTCCAGCTGCGATTTCTGTTAAAATGCCAGGGAGAAAGGGTCTGGAGGTCAGGCTTTCTTTTAAAGCCCCAAGCCTCTAATTACATTGTGAGTCTTTGTGGTGACTAGCCGCCATCCTGATTCATCTCATCTCATAGCATAAACTCATATGTGATCCCATCAGCCTATGAATAAAGACACTCCTATTATCGGGAATTCTAAGGATGTAGAGTCTTCCTCCCAGGAACCAGGGACGGAGGCCAGTTAGATTCTTTTTATTTAATAGGAGTATAGGCATTGTTCTATTTCAAAGGATTTCCTTGTCTATTTTAAACATTTGTGTATAAATTCCATGGTATCACCCTATGTTTTAATCATAACAAATACTTTTTTTCCTCTAGGAGTCTGGAGCACCTATTCTTACAGATGATGTTAGTTTACAAGTGTTTATGGATCACTTGAAGAAACTTGCTGTGTCCAGTGCTGCTTGAAGTGCTAAACATGTTAAAGACACTTAAGAAGATGAAATAATATTCAAATTTCATTTTTTCCTCTTTCCATTTATCTGTGGAAACCAACAGATATTGCTCTATATTTTTTGTATTAGTATGGTTTGAGACAACATAGGGAAAATATTCACATTTGTAGATTAAGCTGGAATTATAATGAGAGCAATAAGAACAAATTTATTTTGCTTACCACAGTGTTATAACTGGTTCTAGAAATTTGAGGTCTTTATAACTTAATTATGTTTAATAAAAATAGAGTCTGCCTTGTACTACAGATGTAATTTATTTGTATAATGCAGACAGACCCAAAGTGGCACTGAATTTCCTTGCTCACCTTTTAAAAACTTGTTCCTTAATTTTAGCCAGAAAGCTAAAAAACATTAGTAATGATAAATGTGAACATTTTTGCTTATTCATTGAATATTTTTCTGTAATTTTCAGCACTTATGTATACACTTTTTCTGTACTTACTAGGGTAAGGCAGATTTATTTTTATGATTTGTTTAGGAATTATTTGATTTTATAATGGTAATTTTCATGATGATAATGTTTTTGGTTATTTGGAAAGATAGTTTAGAGATGAAAGTTTTTTTTTGGGTAACAATCCCGCAGCTGACAATAAATGTGAAATTTCCACAAAATATCCAACCTATGTGACTAAACACAACAGTTTTTTTTAAAAAGGGAGATAGAAAATAAATCGTTTTGTTGGAGTGCATTTTACTAAGCCTTTGCAGTAAAATGACTGTTGTAACTACTAAACCAAATTTAGTTTTCACAGCATGGTTTTGTTGTTTTTCCCTTGTTTTTCTGAGGTAAATTTTATGTTATATCCTTCAGTATTTTAACACTACTTTGGCAGTTTACACATTACTTTTTGTTTTTCCTTCCTTTTTGTGAAATTTATTAAGTTGTGGTTCTTATTGATAACAGTATTATATAATGTTTGCTTAATTATATCATGTGATGCTCAGTTCTATTTTGATTTATTCATTGGTATTCACTTTTACCTTTAAAGTTTACTTGTAGCAAATATGTTTACATTGATAAAGCCAGATATGTTTTGACAATGAAATTTACATATCAAGTACTGCAAATAAAAGGTGGTGCTATGATATATGCTTAGGAGGACAGTTTTAATGACTGTACTTGCATGAACACAATCATATGATGGTAAAACAGAAACTTAAGAAAAAATTGTTTATATGTTATTTTCAATTAGCTTAAATAAATTGCATTGTTATATTTTATTTGAATTGAACTGTGCTAGGCCTAAATGCCAATAAAATATACTTTTCACTGTTTTTCTGGCTATTTTGAAATCTAGTAAAACCTGAGAAGCCTAATGTAAAATTAGAGTATTTAAAATCATTAGATTTAAAAGCTACTCCTTTAAAAAATAACAACTTTAAGATATAATTCACACATCATACACTTCATCTACTTAAAGTACACAAATCAATAATTTTGAATATTTTCATGAAGTTATGTAATCACATCACCACAATCAATCTTAGAGTATTTTTTATCACTCCCAATAGTTACTCATTTTTGTCATAAGGCTAGTGTGTTTTTAAAAAGGGAGATAGAGGTTCATGTAGTTTTTTGTTGTTGTTGTTTGAGACAGAGTCTTGCTCTGTTGCCCAGGCTGGAGTGCAGTGGCACAGTCTCGGCTTACTGCAGCCTCCACCTTCTGGGTTCAAGCTATTCTCCTGCCTCAGCTTCCCAAGTAACTGGGATTATAGGCGCCTGTCACCACGCCCGGCTAAGTTTTGTATTTTCAGTAGAGATAGGGTTTCACCATATTGGCCAGGCTGGTCTTGAACTCCTGACCTCAAGCGATCCACCTGCCTCGGCCTCCCAAAGTGCTAGGATTACAGGTGTGAGCCACTGCACCCAGCCAAGTTCACATATTTTGAATTGAGGAAAGACATTGTAATGATGACACCTGTTTAATTTGCCTGTTCTCTTAAGTTATGTCCTTTAAGAATGGTGTTGTGCCATTGTTTCTTGTCTTGGTACTTAGCCCTAAACTGTCCTCTACTTCTAAATCAATTACAGCTGAATTTAGGGATAAGGATGAACAAATACATTATCATACCCTTTTAGCTTACCATTTAAAAGCAATCGCCTGGGATCATTTTTGTGTATAATTTATCTATTTCTAAATTATCTACTTACATAGACTGTTGAAAAGAATGTTTAGCCCTGTCTTAGTTTATTTGGGCTGCCAGAACAAAATACCTTAGACTGGGTATTTTACAACCAATGGAAATTTATTTCTCACAGTTCTGGAGGCTGGGAAGTCCACAATCAAGTAGAGTTGGTGTCTGGTGATGGCTCTCTGCTTTGTAGATGGCACCTTCTATGTGTCCTCACATGGTGGAAGGAAGAGAGATGAACAAGCTTCCACAGGCACCTTTTGTAAAAGCACTAATCCCATTCATGAGGGTGTACCCCTCATTCTCTAATCACTTCCTAAAGGCCCCACTGATCTGGGAGGGAGGCAGAGAAGTGCTAGGAAGCGAAGGACGTGGTCCTTGGCTAGGGCTTCACCTCCAGGCCTGTGCCCACAGACCTAGGTGAAGACAGGCATTTCTGTTTTCCTGCCCAAATGTTGCACTTCCCAAGATCACCCTGGCCCACCATGCCCCCATCCTGTGCTTTTAACAACCTAGAGACCCTAGCGGGCACACACAAGCGGCTGGACATCAGAAGGAACACTTTGGCGGAAGAACACAAAAACAGCAGGATGTCGAGAGGCGCAGGTCGGCAGAAAAGCACAACTGGAGACTCCAGTAGACACCGACAGGCCAACCAGTGGAAGGACACGGAGTTGGGCTGGGGCTCCGAAGGAGGGCCCGGGCTGCTGAGCTGCCTGACTCCAGGGGAAAACCACCTTCCCACTCCATCTCCCTTCTGGTTCCCCATCCATCTGCTGAGAACTTTCACTCAATAAAACCTTGCACTCATTCTTCAAGCCCACGTGGGATCCGATTCTCCCGGTACACCAAGGCAAGAAACCCTGGGATACAGAAAGCCCTCTGTCCTTGCGATAAGGCAGGTGGTCTAATTGACCTGACACAAGCCGCCTGCAGACGCCTAAACTGAAAGAGCGTACTGTAACACACGCCCAGTGGGGCTTCAGCTGTGAACATTCACCCCTAAACACTGCTGTGGAGTGGGAGCCCCACACCTGCCTTTCTGCATACTCCCCCTAGAGGTTTGAGCATTGGGGAACTGAAGAAGCGAGCCACACCCTCATCGTACACCCAGCCAGGGGGTTAAGGGAACTTTTCCCGTTTCACCACCTCTTAAATGTCATATTGGAGATTAGGTTTCAACATAGGAACTTTGAGGGAACCCAAACGCTTAGACCACAGCACTCTTTTAAAGAACGTGGATGATATGGTTTGGGTTTGTGTCCCTGCCCCAATCTCATGTCAAATTGGAGGAGGGGCCTGGTGGGGGGTGACTGGATCACGGGGGCAGATTTTCCCCTTGCTGTTCTCGTAATACTTAGTTCTCGTGAGATCCGATCGTTTAAAAGTGTGTGGCACTTCCGCCTTTGCTCCCTCGCTCTCCTGCTCTGTCGTGGTAAGACGTGCTTGCTTCCCCTTCGCCTTCTGCCATGACTAAGTTTCCTGAGGCTTCCCAGTCATGCTTCCTGTTAAACCTGTGGAACTGTAAGTCAATAAAACCTCTTTTCTCCATAGATTATACAGTCTCAGGTAGTTCTTTATAGCAGTGTGAAAACAGACTAATACAGTAGGATGGATAAAGAATATTTGCTAAATTATTAGCAGCACTGAGTAGCTTTGGTATATTACCCAGAACTGTTTTGGAATTCATTTTTGAATCTACTACTTCTATTGGCATAATCTCTAAAAATGATCTTAGACATCATCTGTGTACACAGATGTAACAGGATAAATTTATTCTTTTATTGGCAGATTCCAAAACTGAGCTGACATTTCTCTGTTTAGTTCCCCACTTGATAGACTTCCCTCTCATATCCCCAGACTCAGAGACTGCATCTAATGAGTGTACTTAGTTGTCCAGCTCAGGCCAGAAACCAAAGAATCATTTTCAACTCTTACTCTTCTCAACATCTTTGGTAACCACATTGTAAAAATTCAACCTCTCTAGTATTTCCGTAATCTATTTCCAGTTCTCTATCCTACTGTTATTCTGCCTTCATTATATCTCACCTGGCTTGGTGAAATAGCTTCCTAACTAGCCTACTTTCTCCAATCTCCTTGTCTCTATTCCTCTTTTCAATTCACTTTCCACACTGCAACAATAGTACTATTTCTGAATATAGGTCTGATTCAGTCATTTCCTTTTGCCCTCCCAATAAAATCCAAACACTTTGGCCTCGTAACATTGTATACTATATATCAGATTGTACCCCAGTTCTCTGCTAGAAAAATGGTATAAAAGACACAGCTGAAAAGGTGTATTGGAGAGGAATTCTAGTTGTACCCAAGCATGAAATTTAGGTGTTGTATTTGGTATCTATTTAGTGTCAAAACCAAATGCATTCTCTACTGGCTGTTACAAATTAAATTCCATCGCTTATTGCACTTGCTTTTATTTTAAATGAACATGGTATTTTTTTCAGTTATTTTCAAACTGCGGACAAATTAGGATTATTTCCTTTATCTTTTATAAAATTAAAAAAAAATAGAGATGAGGTTTCACTATGTTGGCCAGGTTGGTTTTGACCTCTTGGCCTCAAGCAATCCTTCTGCCTCAGCCTTCCAAAGTGCTAGGATTACAGGCATGAGACACCTCGCCCAGCCGGATTATTTCCTTTCTAACATCCGTCTTTACATTTTTATTTTCATTTCCCATGTATCCACTATACATGCATATATACTTTTTGTACTCTTCAAATGCTTGACTTGCATTCATCTTGAGGATTTTGTCAAGTTATTCTACAGATACTTCCATTTTTCTTGTTTGCTTTTTAATAGTTTATGAAATTAAGTCTCCTTTCTTCTGTTCATTTTTTTCTCCTTTGTTTACCTATTGAAACAACCGCTGTTCTAGGCTTAATGTATTATTATCTAGTGAACAGAATAATATTAAGGTATGGAACAGTGAAGTTACATTACTAAATATATTTGATTTTTTTTTCTTCCCTACCTGTGTAATCCATACTGACCAGCATCTTCAGTTGCTTTTCTTTGAGACTTGGTTTTTTTTTTCTGTGTGTCTATTTTCTTACATTTTGTTATTGCCTACCTTTTTCTACATTTTCTGCGTACTAATTTTCAAGGAGCAATTTTAAAGCTCAGTTTTTACTCTACGTTGTTCAAGCCTGATTTGTACTGTTTGCAAATATTTTGGTCTTCGATTAATCTTATCTAAAACTTCACAGCAGGAAAAACTTAAATTGCACCACTGATGGAATGATTTGTGTTTTTTTTTGGTTAATCCTTTAGTTTTAAACAACAGTTCAAAAAAATGTAGTGCCATAGGTATTCAAGACACAAACTGCAACTCTAAGAGAGGGGAAATTATTCAAAAATTGTTATTAATTTACCTTCTAAATGTAAGGGTATCCGTGTATGTTCAGGCCACATTGTATAACTGGGGGTTCTCTGAATTAAGTTCCATGTAGAACACAATGTTTAATGAGATGAACAAAGCGAATCAATGGAGACTTTCATAAGAGCAAAAAAGTGATAGTTTGAAAGTATTAATCCATTTCTAAAGCTAAGGAGAAAATTGAATATCAATTCTTCTGATAAGCATAAAATACATGTGTTTCTTTTTTTAAATGAAAGTCTTAAAAATTATTCAAAATTTTTTCCCCAGGCCAATTAAGAAGCATAATTGCTTAGTTATTTAATGATCAAGATTCATCTACTTTTCGTCTAATGAATTTCAACTGAGACTTGATGTAACAATCATACATCCACCACTCATGAATGCAGTTTGGGAAACTGGACTTTTGGAGTTAAAAGGGCCAGTTGAAATCATTAGGTCCTATTTCTTTACCCAATTCATTCAAGAATCCCTCCACAGTATCACTGTTGGTCACCTGATCTCCGTAAAATACTTTCAGTGATAAGTCAAACAACAGCTGAAAGTTGCTGAATGCTGTGAGTGACTTACACCTTTAGAGAAAAGAATGTTGCTGAGTTAGAAAGGATTTGTATATGACATACCAAAGTAAACTTTGACCAGAATTTTACGAGGAAATACTTAACTCCATTTTACATGATAACACAATCAGAGGGGCTATGAACTTTCACCTAAAAGGCCATCTGGCAGTCTTTGATACTGTCATTAA